CTCCTGCTGCTATGCCTACTCTGCAAGCGCCTCGTTCGGTCGTGAAAGAGGAAGATTTCCCTCAGCATCTGGAAAGATCTGATCCGTCGGTGTCGCTGCTGCAGCATATACTAGACCAGCTTCACCCTACCCAGCGCGAAGCCCTTCTTGCGAAGGATATCTCGGGGCGTACCCCGCTTCACTATGCAGCACAATATGGATTCAAGGTTGTGTGCGAAGTCATCATCGAGCACCTGCAGGCCTGGGATATGTTCGACGTCATTGAAGGAATCGATGGCCCACGTTGGCAGGACAATGATGGCTGGGCTCCATTGCATCTGAGTGTTGTGGGCGGCCATCCCTTGACTACGAAATATCTCCTTGAGTCCGAAAATTGGCATGGGGCCAATAAAGACAAAGCCAAAATCCGCAAGCAAGTCTCGCGCTCCAGTGCTGTGCTGGCTTTGGCGACCAAAGCAAACTTTGTCGACATCGTACGCCTTTTGGTTGAGGCCGGAGTGGACATTAACTATCAGGATGACCACGGTGAAACCGCCCTGCATGTCGCTGCCCGCTTTGGGCATCATGAATGCGCGGATATCCTGCTGCAGGGTAATGCAGAACAGAAGGCCGATACTGAACTCGCTGAGAAGACGTATGGATGGACTCCACTGTTCATCGCTTGCGTCGATGGAGCTTTGAGAGTTGTGGAATTGCTGATCAAAGCAGGCGCCGAGCTCGAAAGGCTTGACTCCTCCGGTTGGACTGCCAAGGAGCATGCGGCTTTGAGAGGCCATCTCGACATCGCTCGATGCCTTGCCAAAGTCACACCACCTCCCGAGATCAGCGAAGCGGAGCCTGTCATCCCCGTTCCAACTGTCTCGTCCGCTCCACCATCTCCTCCCCCGTCTTCTTTGTCTGACAGGCGGTCTAATGCACCTTCCACCAATACCCCGTTACGCAATGCAGAGCCTATCAAGACCTTTGGCCATCGGTATCTCACTGATGAGTCCATGGTTCTGGTCAGCTTGGGCACAATGGACATGCGAAGCTCTCTCGAGGCTGTCAATCTTGATCGAATCCCAATGGAGAGCGCTCATTCTACTCAGCTCGACACTGCTTTGTCGATTGTCGTTTCTGCTAGCGGGGCCCGAGGGGAGCCTGAAATCATTGACCTTCCTGTTCAGGACAATATTTCCACTGAGCCCATCGTTTTCCACGCCAAAGATGCTTCCAAAGTCAGGCTCCTATTTGATCTAGTCCCAACCTACGCTGGCTCTAAGGACAAAATTGTTGGACGGGGTGTTGCCTTGCTTTCGAGTATCAAGCCTACACTTGGTTCCCACCGTATCAACCTCAAAGGCGACTCTACGGTCCCTATCGTTGCAGCAAACACGTTAGAAGTGATCGGCTCGGTCACGTTCAATTTCCTGATCATTACGCCATTCAAGCATCCCAACATGACAATCACTGGGGACCGAACGTACTGGAAGAGTATGAGCTCCACCATGGTAATTGGACATCGTGGTTTGGGTAAGAACTTTGCTAGCCGCAACTCATTACAGCTTGGCGAGAACACTGTGCAGTCTTTCATCGCTGCTGCTAATCTGGGCGCCTCCTACGTCGAATTCGACGTCCAGCTGACAAAGGACCATGTACCTGTCATTTACCATGATTTTCTTGTCAGCGAGACGGGAATCGATGCTCCGGTCCACACCCTCACGCTAGAACAATTTCTTCAGGTGGGAGACAATAAACCAGCCCGTCGCCCTGGCTCGCCACCCCAGACGCCAGACGTTTTCGGCAATGACAAGGGTTACTTTAATCCTCGCCAACGGTCGATGTCCGTGGGTGGCTCGGAATATGACCCGTCCGAGCTGAACGAGAAGATCAAGCACACCCGTGACTTCAAAAAGAAGGGCTTCAAAGGCAACAGTCGTGGCAACCACATCCAAGCGCCTTTCGCCACTTTGGAAGAATTGTTCAAGAAACTCCCTCAATCCGTTGGATTCAACATCGAGCTAAGTGAGTATCCTTTCGGTCCAAGAACACTCACACGAGAAACTGACCACGGCCACCAGAATACCCCATGCTCCACGAAAGCGAGGAGGAAGAGATGGACACGTATGCAGTGGAGTTGAATTCTTTTGTGGATACTGTCCTTACCAAAGCCTATGATATGGGCCAGGGACGCAACATGATCTTCTCCAGCTTCAATCCCGACGTCTGCTTGTTGCTTGCTTTCAAACAGCCTTCTATTCCCGTGCTCTTCTTGTCGGACTCTGGAGCGTCTCCTGTTGGCGATATCCGTGCTAGCAGTCTGCAGGAAGCAATCCGCTTTGCATCCCGATGGAACCTGCTCGGTGTTGTCTCACAGGCTGAGGCCCTTGTTCTGTGCCCTCGACTCGTCCGAGTGGTCAAGGAGTCCGGGTTGGTGTGTGTGTCGTATGGAGCGATCAACAATGACCCGGCCAACGTCAAGGTAAGTCAACAAAGGGCGCCGATCTTCTGTCGTCGCTAACACTTTTCACAGCTTCAAGTTGCTGAGGGTATCGATGCGGTCATTGTGGACTCGGTTCTCGCCATCCGAAAAGGACTTACTGAACATGAAAGCAAACGCGGGACGCCGGGAGTCTCACCGCAGCCCAGTCCTTTGGCACAGCCCACACCTACTGCTCTCAAAGATTCGATCAGAATTCCCGTGCTGGACCAGACGGAGGAGAAGGACAACGGTCTTCACGTGAAGCCGGAGGCGATTCTCTGAGGCAGCTCCGGTGCTGATTCAACAAGCGGCCAGCTGGACATTTGGCCCGATTAATTACACATAGATTACATTTGGGAAATCCTTCCCATCTAGAACTCGATCATCGTTTACGTTTGTCCTTAATGGACGGATAGTGGGTAGTAGTAAGCTTCGCATAGCTTGTTAGATACTCCTACCGCGGTCGCGATGGCACGAAATAGCGATAGACCATTTTGGATGCAACGACCTCCCTGCCCTTCCGCGACCACCTCAGCACCTGTAGATCCCCCGCTCGGCTTCCCCATTCAATCTCTGGCCACTACCGGATAGTGAAGCCCCCATCGACCCTGATGTCCGCGCCATTGATCATCCCGCTTGAGTCCTACCATGTCATTAGTTGATACTGACCACCATGCAGGGCGTTCCCCTTCAAAGTCTACTTACCTGACAGACAAAGAGCACCGCATCCGCCACCTCCTCCGGCAAAGCAAACTTGCCCGTTGGGATAGATTTCAGGAAAGCATTCTTGACCGAAGCCTCCCCCCAGGCTTTCTTGCCCAGCTCCGTCCACGCCACGGTGGGCGATACCGAATTAGCCGTGATGCCCCTCCCTGCCCACTCGGACGCCATACTCCGCGTCAAGCCTAGCAACGCCGCCTTGGACGCACAATATGCCCCGTGGCGCGGCAACGCCACATGCGCCGCCTGGGAGGCGATGTTCACGATCCTCCCCGGCGGCGGCTGCGGCATCGATCTCGACGCCTGTTGCCCTTCCGAAGCGAACGCCCGCGCGAAGTAAAGCCGCGCGAACGCCTGCGCGCACAACATCGGTCCCAGCACGTTGGTCGTAAGATGCTTCAGCGTCTCCTCGGGCGGCGTCGCCTCCATGTCGCTCAACGAGACATACCCGGCCGTATTGATCAGGATGCTCGGAAAGATCGTGGGGTTTGATGATTGCAACGGTGCCCGTGTAGACGGCGAGGGCCATAGCAACTCGTCCGCCAACTTAGTGAACGCCGACTCGACGGACTCGGGCGACGTAATGTCGCATTCGTAGGTGAGGATGTCCCTGTGGCGGTGGTGAGCAGCTGCCCCATACCCGGCTTCCAGGAGTTGGTCGCGCCGGGCGGCTTCGAAGGGGGCGTAGAGGATGGCGAGCTGCGCGCCTTGTTGGCGGAGTTTCTGGCCGATGCTGGTGCCGAGGCCGCCTGCTTGTAGTGGTCCTGGTGAGTAAAGTAACTTGGGTTTATGGTAGGAAAGGAAGGGAGGCGCTGTGGGGGGATGAGCGTAGTTTGGGTGGTGGGGAAAGGTGGTGGAGTGAGGATGTTGTATGGGTGGGTGTAGTTACCTAGGCCTCCGGGGAGGATTGCTAGTCTGTTGGCGAGGGCCATGGCTTTTTTGGAGGGGATTTGTCTAGGAACTTGTTGTGTGGAAGTGTAGATGTATAAACGTACTACGGTAGGTATATCTCAATAAAGGTCCTCATGCTTGAACAAGACGGAGGAGGGGAATGCGACCTGGGCTAGTAGGTAGGAATGTAACAGCCCTCGGGAAAGGAACAGCCCGAGGAGATGATATCATTGGAAGTTGGCGCAGTTCATCCGTCCTGCTACTCGTAATACTGATCTGCAGATACAAACTAGTCTTTCCTAGTAGTGTATTTGCAGGCTCATGCCTTCGCGGCGGCGGTCAGGGCGTTGATTTCGTTTGTGGAAGCAGGTCTTCGCACACCTCGCGGCTGTTTGTTTACAGAATGGTCCGAAAGATATATAGTCCGGAGGAGGTCACTACAGTGCAAATGCGGAGGATTGAGCATTGATCCTAGTCTCTGATTTGTTGATCAGAATAGGTTTCTTTCTTATCAAGGCAATGGCTATTTTCACCTGCCCAAAGGGTTCAATTTCAGTAGCAGTTGAAAGGAAGTTGATGACTATAGAAACCAATCACTCAGTAAGGGAAGTACTCCGTACACAGTCTTGCACTATTCCCAATTCAGCAAGCAACTAGAAGCTGCCGTGCTCGTTGGGAGCGGTGGCGCAGGCGGTGTACTCCCAATCTCTCCGCCTTATCTTTATCAATTCAACGATGCTTTATACTCCTCCACCACTACTTTTGAAATACCTCTCTATCTGCAAACCTATCGTTCAACCTTCTCTCTACACAGCACAATGAACTCTCTCGCCCGCTAACTAAATCCCAAACTACCCACACTTCCTCCGGAAAGCCCCCCCACCAACCTACCCAACCTTTCACCGCGCCTCCAAACACCAACCCAAAAATGAACACCATCGATGCAACAGAGCACTACTCAACCAGTGCCCACGGTAATCCCACTCCAACCCCCTCCAGCCTCCCCATCCCCCCAAACTAACCCCAAAAACCAGACCGGCCCCCCTCCCTCCTAACCGTCATCATCGACACCAACCCGCACGCCTGGGCCCAACTAAGCAACCAATCCGCCCTCCCGCTCTCGACCGCCGTAGCTAACATCCTCGTCTTCCTGAACGCCCACCTCGCCTGCAACTACGCCAACGAAGTGGCCGTGGTCGCCTCACACACCCAAAAGGCAACATGGCTATATCCGGTTGCCTCCTCTTCCGCACCACAAACCCAAGCACAACCTGCAGACACCGACGGCGACACGCCCATGCATCCCGAAAACCACAACCGACCGCCACCAACCACCGAAATGAACAAATACCGTCCCTTCCGCATCGTCGAGGAACAGGTCACCCAGAACCTGCACAGGTTACTCGCCGGTACGACGCCCGAAGACCTCAGCGCAACAACCTCCACCCTGATGGCCGGGGCACTCACGCTGGCGCTGAGCCACATCAACCGCCGGACAATCGCGTGGGCCGAGGCGCACGGCGGGGAGACGGATCCCAACGCCAGCGGCAGTAGCAACACTACCACCACCAACGCAACCGGTGGCGCAGCGTCGGGTCCGAAGGCCAGCACGGAAGCCGGGCTGCAGTCGCGCATCCTCATCCTCAGCGTCAGCAGCGCCACCGGCGCCGCGCACCAGTACATCCCCATCATGAACGCCATCTTCGCCTGCCAGCGCCTGCAGATCCCCATCGACGTGTGCAAGCTCGCTGGCGACGCCGTGTTTCTGCAGCAGGCCGCCGACGCCACCAAGGGCGTGTACATGGCCCTCGCCGAGCCCCGGGGTCTGCTGCAGTACCTGATGATGGCGTTCCTGCCGGACCAGCGCTCCCGCCGCCATCTCATCCTCCCCACGCGCGTCGACGTGGATTTCCGCGCCGCCTGCTTCTGTCACCGCCGCGTCGTGGATATCGGGTTTGTCTGCTCCATCTGTCTGAGTATCTTCTGCGAGCCGCTCGAGAAAGGCGAGTGCTTGACTTGTGGGTCCGTGTTGGAGATGGGCGACTACGGGGCCAAGCCGGCCGTGGTAGCCCGGAAGAAGAAAAAGAAGAAGGCTCGTGGGCCGGGCAATGGGGCCTCGGCGACACCTACACCAACACCGACACCTGGTCCGTGAGGGTGACCAGGACATGCTATGGCTGTTCTCTTTGGCAGTCACGATAATCGCTACCGTTCTGGGTATACAAGGCACGAGATATCTAGAGCAACCCACGCCACGCGAATTACTGTATTATCTGTGGCCTCTCAGGCCTGGAAAAGTAACTAGGAAACGGATACACTCTGTTCCTCCCTCTTGTTGCCCGTTTCAGCTCCACACATTCTTACCTTTACCCGACGAAGCAACGAGCGCTTGGTGCCAGGCCAAACTATGTTTTCGGGATCTGGTTCACTGGTGGAAGAGCTATGAGCGAAGATCGACTTGGACGTCAACCCGATACCGAAATTGACACGAAACATCGATCAGCAATCTGGGCTTCGAGAGGAGAATGCGTCAGCGTGTGATTCCGAGCGTTGTACGCCAGATACATAACACCACGAAGTCATAACAGCAGACGAAATAGTAGAATGAATAATAAGTCACTTACTTTGTGAACTGGTCAACACTCTCGGCGCAACAGTAGATGTGCGCTAGGTAATTGGTAAAGGCAGACTTCGATCTGAGTTGAGTGCCACTACTTGGCTTGCGACATGGGTTTGCTTCGAGTGGCGCGGCCGCCCTGAGCAATGCTACCGTTGCCATTGTTGCGGGACATCACACACACCGGCTGTTTATCCTCGCTGCTCATGGAAGCAATCACCTGCTGCACTTAGTAGAAACTCTAAAACAATTGACTTCGTCTCAGGCCTTACGAATGAGTCTGTGTTGTGTCCGAAATAGAGATAAACACCATGCGTGGTCTTCTTGACAGCCACGATGCCGATGGCAGCTTGGCATTTGCTTCCACGAACACCGGGATGGCCTGAAATAGTCATGTCAGTAAGATCAGGCAGAAGAGGTGGGAGTGGATTACCCATGAAATCGGAAGAAATCATAGAGCTCAGTGCTTCTTCCTCGGTAACATCTTCGAATGTGCCGTCGTTGTGTTTCTTTTGGCTGTAGTAGACCCGCATAGCGCACATGTGGGCGGCCATCGTAGTCGCAATATGTTCGCCAGTTCCCGAAGTCACGGCTGCGACGCTGGTCTTCTCTGGATCGTTGGGGTCGGCTGGGATCACACTTGTGCCAACTCCCACGAGTGCCGCAGGTCCGATACGACCGGAGTGCTTCATCCCGATGCCGCCAGAAGACGAGCCGGCCGCAATGTTGCCCCAGCTGTCCACGGCAATGGCCCCCACAGTATCGCTGACATAGTCCATCACCTCCGCAGGCTGGCTAGCAGTGGCCTCTGAGGTATCGGATGACAGACCATCGAGATCCACAGCGGAGGCGCAAGACCCTCCATCCATATATCTGCCATCCCTAAGTGCAGAAGCATCGGAAAGAGTGCGGGTTAGTTCCGCTGGGGACAAACTTGCAGTAGTACAGGTCAAACGTGGGTCTGCAGGCTCTGAGTAACCGGGATCCACAGCGTTGGGCGCAGGCATAGCGGGAAGACGAGGACTGGAAGCGTTGGCCAATTGGGCAGGGTTCACAGGAATAGGACGGCGATAACAAGTCTGGTACGGGATATAGTTCCCCAGCTTGGTCCTCTCCTTGTGCTCAGCGGCTTGTAGCTCCTGCTGCCAGCGACGCCACCTCTCTTTTGCAGACGGAGCCACGAGAGCATCAGGGGGCAGGACCACCAGTCCCTGGTCATAGGCGAAGTCCCTTGCACCTCGTCCGATCAGGAAGTTAGGCGGAACACGAGCCAGGGTTAGTGGCTTTCCTGACGTGTTCAAGATGCTTCGTGCCACCATAATGGGGTTTTTAACTTCTGCAAAAGGGCATTAGCCTGGCGCTTGGCCAGTCTTCTTCGGAGTCAGAAAGGAATACTTACGGGACACAGCTCCTACTGCGCCGCTTCGCCCAAGATGATTGACGATCGTAGCGTCGCATTCGACCTCTCCGTCGATTGTCAAGTTACTGCCATAGCCAGCATTGGTGATTTCGGTGTCCTCCAGATACATGATGGCCATTTCGACCGCCTCTACAGCCGATCCACCATTGCGCAGGACGGCCATTCCTGATCGCGCGGCCCTGCTCCGAGTTAGAAGGCCTTCAAGCCAGGTAGAGTGCGGAAAGAAAGACTGCTTGCAAACTCACTTTTCACATGCCTGCAGATGTAGATGTTCGTTCTGCACACTGTGGAAGCCAGCGCCGGCATGGACATAGATGGTGGCGATGCCTCCACCGCCAGCACTACCATTCTTGTTGGAGGACATGGTTAAACCAAGTTGCCTCGCAATGAATGCTGGAATGAGACGCGGCCGCGTGACGGGCTTGATTGAGTGGAGTCCTGGCAGACTGGTGGGTGTTTTGCGTGTCACACTGACTGTAAGTACAGGCCGGTAATCAGAGTGTCGGGGCACAAGTCACAACAGTCAATTGAGCGGGTCTTGAAGTCCTCAGCTTACGAGAAGCGTAGTACTGGAGAGTGCAAGAAAGTAAAAGAACACGGCGTCCCTCAGCTTGAGCGTATTCTGGTCTTCACTGGGCCGGGGTAAGCAAGTGGTGTGCAATTGGCCACGCTTTTGAAAGCGCGCAGAAGTGAATTCTAATGCAGCCGCAGAAGAACGCACAGCCGCAGTTGTGAGGGGGAGCGCAGCCGCACTTCTCAGAGGGAGGAATGGTAGTTCGACCGGTCTCTATGAATACAGTTCACTCCAGGGTTGGATAAGGAATACGAATGATGGAAGAAGGAAAGCATATGCCACTCGACAAAGAATAGACAGTCAGTACTGATAGGCAGAGGGCTTTAGGGAGTCGTATAGAACAGAGATGAAGAAGATGGAAGTGGATAGAGACATGATCGTTTGGTTGGAGAAGTAGATGGAGATGGAGAAAGTTCCTTCCTTATAGACAGGACGATTTATGGGGCAGCAGCTGCCCGCAAAGACTGTACTGTACGGTCCTGTACTTCTTATTTGCAATAAATTTCAATAAAAGCTGTTCCATTGTCTTGTCAGAGTTATCGATAGTACAATTGATAGGGGTTTTTTTTTTTTTTTTTTTTTTTTTTTGTTTTTGTTGAAGAAGACATACACAAATTGTATTGAGGGAGAGGAAAAGAACGCCATGGGCGACAAAACGATGAAGATAACGATACTCCGTAGATGCATGGATAAACTACTGCCAACACGTGCCGTTCTGCCAGCCATGGACGAGACACCGACTTGCCCGCCCTCCCGGTCCGTTCCCTCCTCCTGCTGCTGCTTGCTGCTCCCCTCCATTCATCCCCCCCCCCAATTCAATCCCCCATCTCAATTCCCCCCATTCTCCTACTGTCTCTTTCTTTCTCCTTTCCCCGCTGTCCCCCTTCTGCTGATCTTTGTGGAAGGCCAGCTTCTCTTTATCTACTCTTCTACGGACCACATCCGTCAATTGCCTTCTACCCAACCAACACCTTTCGCCCGCGACCTGATAGTAAGGGGGAGTGCGTGTACTCCACATCATCCGTCATGGCTTCCCAAACTCCGGCCGTTGTCATGGACAAGTGAGTCGCCCAACAACCCCCTCTTTGTTCTTTAAACACATCATTGTAGCTGACTATGAGCTTACACTGCTCAGCGGAACTGGTTACTCCAAGCTTGGTAAGCTTCCCCCCCCCCCCCCGCTATGATTCCAGCTACGCCTACTGCCTACCCCACGGAGCTCTAGGCTGACAAGGCACCAGGTTTCGCCGGTAACGACTCGCCATCCTTCGTCTTTCCCACCGCAATTGCTACCAAGGCGGGCGCCGGAAGTGCTGCAGGTTCCGCCCCCGGCCGACCTCCCGTCGCGAACAAGCCATCTTTCCTGGCCGGTGGTGGTGGTGGGGCAAGCTCGCACTTGTCCACGAAGCGTGGTACGGAGGACCTGGACTACTTCATTGGCGACGAGGCGCTGGCAGCCGCCAACGGCCCCGGTTATGCGATCAACTACCCCATCCGTCATGGTCAGATTGAGAACTGGGACCACATGGAGCGGTTCTGGTCCAATTCCATCTTCAAGTACCTGCGCGTGGAGCCGGAGGACCACTACTTCCTCCTCACCGAACCCGTACGCTACCAACTACCCTGTGCCCATGCGACACCAGGAGATTAGTCCACTAACATCCAAACTTGCATCAGCCCTTGAACCCCCCCGAAAACCGTGAGAACACCGCCGAGATCATGTTCGAGTCGTTCAACTGCGCCGGTCTCTACATCGCCGTCCAAGCCGTGCTGGCTCTCGCTGCCTCCTGGACCTCGTCGAAGGTCACCGATCGATCGCTCACCGGAACCGTCATCGACTCGGGCGATGGTGTCACGCATGTCATCCCCGTCGCAGAGGGCTACGTCATTGGGTCCTCGATCAAGAGCATCCCCATCGCCGGTCGCGATATCACCTACTTCGTCCAGAGTCTGCTCCGTGACCGTGGTGAGCCAGACAGCAGCCTGAAGACCGCCGAGAAGGTCAAGGAGGAATACTGCTACGTGTGCCCGGACATTGTGAAGGAGTTCGCGCGCTACGACCGGGAGCCCGACCGCTTCCTCAAACACACCGTGACCGCCCCCAACGGCCGGAGCGTGAGCATCGACGTCGGCTACGAGCGCTTCCTGGCCCCCGAGATCTTCTTCAACCCGGAAATCTACTCCTCCGACTTCCTGACGCCCTTGCCCAACGTCGTCGACGGCGTGATCCAGTCCTCCCCCATCGACGTCCGGCGAGGCCTCTACAAGAACATCGTCCTGTCCGGTGGATCCACCCTGTACAAGGACTTCGGCCGCCGTCTACAGCGGGACATCCGGCACCTGGTCGACGCGCGCATCCGCGCCTCGGAGGCCCGCAGCGGCGGCGCGCGGAGCGGTGGCCTGGACGTGGCGGTCGTCACGCACAAGCGACAGCGCCACGGCCCGTGGTTCGGCGGTAGCTTGCTGGGCCAGACGCCCGAATTCCGCAGCTACTGCCACACCAAGGCCGAGTACGACGAGATCGGCCCCAGTATCGTCCGTCGGTTTGCGCTCCTGGGTGGGCCCGGCAGTGCATAGATGGGTTTGCGGTTCTGTCTCTCTCTGTGTGATTGGCGTGTGAGATATCGTGTTCTTTGTTCCATTTTGTCCATAGTCTTTTCTTCTTCATGATTGTGAAACAAAACAAAAGGCTTCTATTAGTAAACCGGGCTGGAGAAAGCTGTTCTCGACACACAAAACACAGACACACATGAACTTCGATTGCATGGCTGTCGGCCCATTCACTCCAGCAATCAATGTATATAGCATGGATGTAAAATGTAGATGCATTTCAGAACAGGAAGATATTTCCCGGTAAACAAAGAACCCAGATGATGAAGTGTAATTCAAAGTATCTACTTTCAGATACCCCCCAACTCCCAACAATGCCGATACTAAGCAATAATGTATATAACACAGAAAAAAAAAGTTTTATTCACAACCACTCCCGCACTCCCCACCAGCCCAGCTTACCACCACCACAAACCCCAGAGACCTTTGAACAACTAAACCGAACCCTCGGGGATCGGCACACGATTCAAGACCGCTACACCCTCGACATGGCCGGTCTGGGGGAAGAAGTCGAAGCCGCGGATACTCTCGATCTCGTAGCGGATTTTCTTCTCGGCGCTGCCCTGGACCATGACGCCGACGTCGCGGGCCTGGGTGTGGACGTTGCACGACACATAAACGACGCGGCGGGGGCCGTAGGCGAGCAGCTGGCGGAGGAAGTCGTCGCTGCACCCTTTGCGGGGCGGGTCGATGACCAACAAGGTTTGGTCGGCGGGGTAGGGGACGTCCTTGAAGAGGACGGCGGCGTCGGCGGCGGCGAAGCCGGTGTTAGGGAGGTGGTTGGCGCGGGCGTTCTGGCGGGCGGAGAGGATGGAGTCGCCGGCGACGTCGACGCCGAGGCTGGATTTGAACAAGGGGGAGAGGGTGATGGTGAAGAGGCCGGAGCCGGAGTAGGCGTCGAGGAGGTATTTGATTTGCTGTTGGGGTTGGTCGTCGGTGTTTGTGGAAGGCGGTGCCAGGGCGTGTTGGCGGATGTAGTCGGTGAAGCCGGTGAGGATGGAGTTGTTGTTCTGGAAGAAGGCGCCGGCTTTGTTGGTGAAGACGTAGTCGTCGACGTACTCGACCGTCGTGGCGTTGGGGTTGGTCACGCACCGCTTCTCCTCGGTGTAGGCGTCGGTCTCGGTGCGGATCAGGTCCGTCGAGTAGTCGTTGACGTGGTTCAGGTCGTCGGTGCGCGGCCACTCGCTCTTCTCGCGGTCGGCCTCGTGCTTGGGCGTGCGCGAGGTCGACTCGCGCAGCAGGAGCGTCGCGCCCTGCGTGTACGTGGAGATGCGCTCGGCCACACGCGTGCGCTCGCTCTTGAGCCCCTGGCGCACGATGTCCGTGCCCAGCGGGCAGTCTTCGATGTCCAGGTCGGTGCGCCGGTTCTTGTAGGTGAAGCCGATGGGCGGGACCTCGGTGTGTCGCGGGGCCGAGGCGCCCTTGTTGCGGCGGCGGCCGCTGCCCGGGGGCGCGGCGAAGTGGGGGGTGAGCTTGGTGCGGTAGCCGTACTGCAGCGGGGAGGGGAAGGTGTCGCCGATGGCGGGGATCAGTTCGGGGATGAGGCCGGAGAAGTTGGCGTAGGCTTTCTCGACGATGCGCTTCTTGTGCGCCAGCTGGTCCTCGTAGGACATCATCTGCAGCTGGCAGCCCGAGCACTTCCCGAAGTACTGGCAGCCGATGCCGGCATCGTTGCGCTGGGAACCGGGTTCAATGGCCTTGATGAAATCCGTGATGCTGTATTGGAGCGAGGGGAAGTGGCGCACAACCTTGACTAGCACTTTGTCCCCAGGGACGCTGAAAGGCACCACGTAGACGTGGGTTTTGTCCTCCGACAGTGCCAGACCATCCCCCGTCGAAGATATCTCGGCGATCTGGACTTCGATCTCGGTGAAGGGCTCGGGCAAGGTTGGCTCTGGGGGGGTCAGGTACTCGACCTCGACCTCCGTGGCGGGCTTGTGTTTGCGGATGAGCGCATCGATATCGGCCTGGAGGACCTCGTCGAAGCCTTGGCGCTTCTCATCGCGGAGCTGCTGCTTGCGCTTCTTGGGCGGAGGGGCGGGTTTCTTGGGCGGTTCCTGCATCCTTTGAACCACGTCGTACAAACGTCGATTGATATCCGCAGGAAGACCAGTGTGGATCAGACGGGGAGTCTGGAGGGTGAATTGGGACGGGATTCTTCGTGAGATAAGGCGCAGGGATCGCAGTGCAAACATCTATAGATCCTGAGATTCCCACGTTGTTCAGTAAGCCCACCGTGAAAGGATATTTACAGAAAGTTGCACGGGGCAGTTGTGGAAAAGTGGGAAATTGTAGAAGTTGGGGAAAGGTTAAGGGAAAGGGAAAAAAAGTGAGTGAGCAGGAAAGGGCGGGCGCGGATTGGCTGGATTCGGCCCGCTGAGAATTTCGCCGGAGTTTCTGTTTCTCTCCAGGCTCTCTCCGATCTCAATCTTCAATTCCCCTTCAGTCACCGCGGACTTGCCTCGAGCTACCTCCCCCCCCCCCCCCCCCCCTCCCTTTCTCTCTCTTTCTCCCTTTCCTCTAAAGCTCTCAATTGGCCTCTGCTGGCCAGAGAGCTTACTTCTTCTCTCACCGTTCACCATGAGTTTCACTCGTCCCGCCCGATGCATGCTATGCAACTTCTCGCGAGCCGCCTCGGCGGCTCCTCGCGTCCCTCGCCGTCAATTCCACCCTTCTCCCTTCCGACTTAACGAACAGAAGCCGAAAGACCCTGCCGTGCCCGTGACGGAGACCTCGAAGACGACAAAAGAGGCGGTGGTCAAGCAGAAGCTGGATGAGATCACGCGGAATATGAAGGCGGAGAGCCTGCGGCCCTACACGGAGGAGGAGCTGGCCCAGCTGCGGGAGGTTTACAGCGCGCAGCAGGTGGCGGCGATCGAGGCCGGCGAGGCGGCGATCGACCCCAAGGACTTCGCGGAGCAGTTCGCCGTCCGCACGGATCCGATGCGGCTGAAGTACCTGGACGACTTCTCGCACGTCGAGCCCGGGGTCGACAAGCACGTGCGGGCGCCCGAGACCAACTCGGACCCCAACCAGAAGTTGAAGAGCACGGAGGACTTCATGCAGGACTTCGCCCAGTACATCCACGAGATGCCGCGCGACATGGACGCGGCCCACTTCGTCCGGTGGGCGGAGACCAACCGGATGACCAAGGGCAAGGAGGAGGCCGAACGCCGCCCGCACACCGCGCTGGCGCCGGACTTCTTCCAGGAAGGCGACAAGCTGCGTGTGCCGGAGGATGAGGGCAAGGAGGGCCAGGTCCGGGACCAAAGCCTCCACCGCCCCGCCACGTCGTTGGAGGGCGTTTCGCCGCCGTTGGCGCAACTGATCCAGTCCACGGGCCTTAGCGAGGAGTACATCAAGAGCCTGTCCACCAAGTCGCTGGTGTTCCACTCGGTCACCAACCAGACGCGTCTGGGCAAAGTGCAGCGGTTCTACTGCCTGGCGATCGCCGGCAACCGCGACGGCTTGCTGGGTCTAGGCGAAGCCAAGTCCTTCGAAGCCGCCGATGCTATCGAGCAAGCGAAGTACCGTGCGATCCGGAACATGCGGCCCATCCTGCGATACGAGCAGCGCACCATCTACGGCGATGTGACGGCCAAGGTTGGTGCGATGGATCTGAAGTTGATGACTCGTCCTCCGGGTATGTTTTCTCGGCCCCCCTGTGTCGTCTTGTCATGTGCTAACACGGAATTAGGCTTCGGAATTCGCTGCCAATCCCTCATCTATGAGATGTGTCTTGCCGCCGGTATCACCGATCTCGCTGCCCGGGTCAACCGTTCCAGAAACAAGATGAACACCGTGAAGGCTGCCTACGAGGCGCTCTTGTCGCAGCGTAACCCGGAGGATGTCGCCCGTGCCCGGGGTAAGAAGATGGTCGATGTGCGCAAGGTGTACTACTCTGGACGGGTCTTTTGATTTCTTGCTTTTGCCGGTTTCTGGTTGCGCCATGGCGGTGGTGTAAATAATGGTTTTTTCCCTATGGTGTATTTTGTATCTCTCTCTTCAGTCAACCTGTATTTGTATCCAGCCTATGTTCGGTTATGATAGAACTGAGAACCTGCTCCTTGTCTTGGGAGATTTCTTTAGTAAACCTGTATCCAGCCCATGTGTGGTTAATAGAACTGAGATAACCCCGTTCCTCGTCCCCATTCGAAGTAAGAAAATACATAACCATTTTCATCCCACAGCACCTAACCAGTTTAAAAAAAAAGCAGGGGTATACAACAGACAGCAGACAAACGATACCCAAACTCCGAAGCACCAACCCATACTCCCTCCCCCCCACTCCCAAAGAAAATTCCCGAGAAAGTCAAAACCGTCCCAAAAGACTGACATCCTGCCCATGTCCCTGCTCCTGCCCCTCATCATAATACCCATACCCCTGCTCGTCCTGCTCCCCCTGCTGCTCCCTCTCATACCCCATCGCATCCCCAAACTCCTGCCCCTGCCCCTGGCCGGCAAACTGCTGCCCCTCCGACTCATTGATCATCTGCTGCTGCAACACAATACTATACACACTCGCCTTGAGCAGCGTGCACACGGTGGCGGTCTTGCGCTCGAGATGGCGGAGGCCGTCGAGGGTCATGGAGGCGGGGGCGCCGGCGAGGTCGGCGAGTTTGGTGGAGAGCTAGCCCCATTACCCATTACCTACTGCATTAGCTGATTGTTCCCTATGTGGATTGGGGGATTGAGGGAGCGAGGGGGCCGGGGCGTTGCGCATCAGGCGGGGGGGGGGGAAGGACGAAAAATACCCACCGCGTTCACGTTCCCGAGTAACCGGGCGTACTCGTCGAGGACTTCCTGCTCGAGATCCGAGACGAGGGGGTTGGAGGGGTTGAGGAGGGGGTTGTTGCTGTTGCTGTTGCTGTTGCTGTTGCTGTTGCTGTTGTTGTTGCTGGTGGGGTTGGTGTGGTCGTCGTCTTCGTCGGGGGTCATCGCGGCGGCGGAGGGGTCGTCTTTGATGCTGACGCTGGCGGGGTCGGTGAGGTCGTCGAGGTGGGACATTCTCTTTTCTGGGAAGCCTGGTCGGTGGTTGGGAGAGTGATGCTGGGCTGTAGGCAGTAGATTATGAGCTGCAGGTGGAATTGATCCAACTAGTTCTAGGTCGGGTTTATGGGTTTGCTTTGTTTTGTTTGGGGGCAATGAGAGTCGGCGGGAACTAACTGGTTTGGTCAAATTGTATTACCATGCAGGGCAGTACTGTGTAGGTTCAGTTTCTGTCTATTTATTTTGTAAACACCGGCCTGTGGCGGACTAACTTGGATTCTAAATTCTCAGGAATCACATCTATTCATTGTACATTGCAGGACTTGTCGGATTTCCCTATCTATAAACCAAAAAAAAAAAATAGACAGCGAGAGTCCACAGACCTCAATCGAGAAGAGTTGACCTGAACTGGCTAACTAGAACTGTACCCCACTCCACCTCCACCCCCACTTATCTGCCGATTCAGCCTAAGGTACAGTACTGTACCTTAAACGGGCTTATCTATACAGTGATTTCTATACAGCAAACGCCGGCCACCCAGTAGTAACTCCGACAACGTGGATGATAGTATGCATTGACGGCGTGGCTAGTGTAAGCTGCTGTATTGCCCGGATTTCTTGAACTGACTGGCCGGTAATCTAGCTGAGTGCGTAATCCCTGCCCTGCACCGATGGCAGGAAGGACGGTGGGACTGCTGGCCGACATTTGCAATCAAAGGCAGCCATGTATGTACATTCGATCTATCGAGAATCCCTACGGTATGGTGTATACCTACTACATAGCAGCCACTGTTCATACTTCATATACCACCAATCACTACACCAATCACAAACACTAATACTGATACATAGATTCATTCATATACTAGTAGCATGTATCATTCCCCTCAAGGCACCGGGCCTCTTGGGATACCGCAGCAACAAAGGTGCAGTGCAAGGTGAAAATGGCCGGGTCTTCCCGAGCAATTCAGCAGACCCCAACCTGCTCAAAAAATTGTTTTGATACGATACAACCGAGATCGCAAACGCCGTCTTCTGCAATGGTGACAATATAAACGCAGGACAAGAAAAGAAAAGCAGGCGGAATCACATCGCTGCAACATCCAGCAGAAAAGCAAAAAAAAAAAAAAAAAATCCCGAGAATGGCCATGCATATAATATACGCAAAATGCCATCTATTTACCTGATCATCAGCATGATTCAATTAACACCCCATAAATTAAACCCCGGGAGAAAAGAACCAGTACTCCGGGTGGTAACTGTATGAAAATCGGAAATGGTGAACTCCAATAAGTCTTCATCTTAATGCGTCATGGTCGTGCCAAAGCCCAAGTGTCTGCCTGAACTCTTTCATCAGCCGTCCTTAGACAGAGCGCAGAGCATCCGTCCAGCATTGTAGAATCACTACATATCTCCATCATGGTGGAGAGTGACGCTGTTGAACTCTTCAAACGGATCCGCAACTTCGGCATTAGGTGTAGCCAGACCGGAATCCATGGGAACCCCCTTCATTTTCATCGGTTGGCTGCCTCCGATGTCGACACTGGCGCTCTCCTTGACATTGCGGAAGTTAAGGGTTTCTGTGCCTCGACTTTGGTGTGGGATCATTGGGGGCTTCATATGGCGAATGAGGGCCCATTGCGTCTGTCGGAAGAAAGGATGTGTCTTGACGTCTGAGGCACCAGCCCGAGCTCCGAGACGTTTTGTCTCATCCTTGATCAGCAACTTCCGAATCAGGGACTTGCAAAGACTGCGCATATGTTAGCATCAAGAATATGACGGCAAAGATCAGTGCGATCTTACTTGGAAATCTGCTGAGCCCCAGAGTGTTCAGGGAAAGGCACTTCGTCCCGCAGGATATTGCCAAATGTGGCATTCCTGTTCTTGCCCTTGAAAGGTGTCGTTCCGTATAGCATCTCGTAGATCAGAATGCCCAGAGTCCACCAGTCGACCGCACTAGTATGTCCGCAGCCTTTGATGACCTCTGGAGCGATGTATTCTTCCGTACCCACAAAAGAGTTCGTCCGAAAATCGGCAATACACGACTTCGTGTCGATGGTTGGTAGAGACGTTGTCGAATTGCCACTCCGAGCCGGAATCATGGTAGGTGCACCGCCCGGTCCGGACTGCTTGGACAAATCGAAGTCAGACAACATGATGTGGCCTGATTGATGGAGGAGAATGTCTAAAATACGTCATTGTGAGACATGTCCATGCATTCATTGATCCTGAGGGGCGACATACTTTCAGGTTTCAGATCGCGGTAGATGAATCCCATCAGATGAAGATACTCCAGGGCAGCAGTCACTTCCGCAGCGTAAAAACGGGCGGCGTCTTCCGAAATGCATTTTCCTGGCCGAGTTTGCAGAGCTGGAGCAACCAATTAGCGCCTTGCCTTGACAATCATCTAGACTCAACATACCTCTAAAAAATTCCCCGCCACTGCAATACTCCATGCAGAGGTAAAGATAATCCTCGGACTGGAAAGAGTGATAAAGCGTAACAATAAACGGGTGATTGCTAGTGGCCAAGATTTCCTGCTCGGCCAGCGCGCGCTTGATCTTGTTACGCTTGATCATTTCCTTCTTGCTCAGCACTAGTAAAGTCAGTCAGCAAGTTCTCTCCAAGTTCTCGCGTAGGCGTGCACCTTTCATGGCATAGAGTCGGCTGGTCTTCTTCTCCCGGACCAAATACACCTTGCCCACATCACCCTTGCCTATCAGCTTGATCTTGTCGAAGCTGCCTGGACCGACCTCCACATTCCGCACCTTGATCGAGTTGGAGCTGTATGTTCGGCGAAATGCAACGGAATCTCGGATCTGGCCAGGGGTGGGGATCTTGCCGTCAGCACCAAGTGTCGGCACGGCCAGGTTGATTTCTTGCTCTTCAGACACCTCGACTGTCGTCACTTGAGGAACGAGACTACTCGACCCCACCGGCAAGGGCTCCTGGTCCTGCTCGGCGGTCTGCGGCCGTTCATCAGCCTGACCGCGGGCAAACAGGCCCTGCGCATTGGGCGCCGAAGCGACACGGCGGAGTTTGCGAGCCAACTCTTCCTTGTTGGCGGTGGTGGCCTGCTCGGCGGCGGAGACGCCTTCGACCTGTAACTCGGGGGTATCTGGTGGAGAAGAGGGAATAGATCCATCATTACGATGCTGCAAGGACGGCTGCCCTTGATGTTGGAAATATGGGTTCGCCGTTGCCGTGGGCGAAACGCCTTCGTCTAGCGGGTTTCCTTCACTGGCGACGGTGGTCGAGCGATTGCGACCAATGGTGGGAAGAAATCGGGACTGTCTGAAGGTGGATTTGGATTCGTGTTTGCCAGGTGACGAGGAGAGGTTGCTGGTTTCATGACTCCGATCGCTTCCGCTGTGGTGACTGGCATGGGAGACATTACTGCTGGAGCTGTTGATGCGGAAGAAGTTTCGAATCTTGGTGGGAAAGTGGCTTGAATCGTTTGAATGTTGTTTCTTGGAGGCCAGCGACAGGCTCGGGAAGTTGCCGCGTTTCTCGTTCGTCACCGAGGACGGACTGGAAGCGAAAAGTTGCGTCATGGCCGAAGACTGGAGCCTGGAAAGGACCCAGGGACTCGTCCAGATGGTCCAAAAGGTCCAAAAAGAGGAGGGGATGTGCGGGATGGAATCAAACAGAGCAGACGTGGACAAGAACAAGTGAAGAAGAACACAAAGATGGAGAATTGCGACGGGAGGACGAGGACCCAGCGACGGGCCAGAAGCCGCGGGGGGAGAGAGGGAGGGAAGGCGGTGCTAATCACTGGGTGTGGGTGGTGTGGGTGGTGAACGAACTAACGGGTTTCGCGCCGGAAACTTGGATTGGGGACGCAGTGCCAGAGCCAGTGCCAGAGCCAGTTCCAGCCCGGGAATGATGAGGGGAGGGGAGAGCCTTGACCCGACAACACGGTCGACAACAGTCCGACCGCAACGAAGACGAAGAATGTGTAAAATTAGCCACGAATTGGTGCAGGGGTGGTGGCAGTATGGTGCGGATTGTAGATTGAAACAGAGGTATCACTGACAGAAGAATTGAATGGGAGGAGGAAGGGTAGAGGGGAAATGATAGAGAGAGATAGCATAGAAAGAGGCAAAAGAGGAGACGAGAGAAACAACGACAGACTGCCAGAGTGATAGTAAAAAAGTGGAGACAGGAAGACCGACAGAAGGTGGAGGGAGGGAAAGATGGAAAAGATGGAACAGTCCGCAGCTTACCTAAAGTGAAGTCAGCCCCGGCTGGAGGCGGCGTTGATACTCACTGAGACTCATACACATACGTAACCATACAGTCTTTAAACCGCCACTATCGGAGCCAAATGGAAGCTAAGCCAGCTTAACATTAGTCAATCAACTCATTCCTAACCATTAGGGAACCATCCATAGCACCTGTCATTATTAATTCTGGGAAAAGCATATGATATGCCGTTTTGTCCTTCGATAGTTAAGAATTTCAAGACAAGACCCCAAAGACTAGTCCAAATACTGGATTGAACCAGTCTTACCGTGGCTATGCCACTAGTTCTCCCTCTTCCCCCTCTGCCTTACTGGCCCATACAATAATAATCAACGCCATAATTTCCACCTGGAACAGACAGCTTGCCCTTCTGGACTTTTCCATACTGTATAGCCCATAAGAGAACCACCGTCACCCTCAGGTTCGAGCCAGAACATTACCGTTGACACCAATCATTCCAGCCCAAAGAATCGCACACGCACTGTGCCACCGGCCAGGAACGAACTCCCTGCCCTGGACTGGACTCCGTCCTTCGTCTTCGCCTCGCTCCCTTTGGGGCCCCCCCCCCCACACATCCGACTCTCCTCCGCCGGTCGAATTCTTGGCTGAACATCGCCTGCCTCCCTGTCTGCCCGGTTCGATTTATTTATTTGGTTATTTGGTTATTTTTTTTTTTTTTTTCCCCCAAAAGAATAGCATGAAACCCAGTTGCAGGGCGTGTCGTGTTTCAGTCCTCGCCTTCGCCCAGACCCTACTCCGTCCGTATCTGATCGGGTCTCGTCTCTATGAATCATAAATAACTCTGTCGCAAGAAACTCGTAAACTTGCAGGCCGGTTAAAACCCGGCCATTTCTGGTTCCTTTTCTTGTTGCGGGGTTCGTTTCGTTCATAGTTCCCTGGGAATCTGGGATGGTTCTTTGGGATGTGGGGAAGCAAGCGTAAAAAAACGCGCCGCCTACGCAAGGGAGGAACTTTTCTCGGCCCTCCCAGCCCATAACTTAGTAGGTTCACCCCCATGTTGGAATTTATATTGTCGATCTTGTCATTGGGAAAAATGACATCTCCTACGACTGGCACATTTTCAAATCCAAGTGGAAAAAAAATTGATCCACCTTCAGTACTTTGTACATCTCGGATGCGCCCATGAACTTGACATATCATACGGAATACCATCGGTAAGCATACCTCCAGTCTCCAGTGTCAACCGCTCAGTCGCTCAACCGCAAGCACGTAAAATTCGAGCAATCGCACTTGCATCATGAACTTTCGACTCCTGACGACAGAGTTGCTCGAAGCAGTTGGAACAAATTAACCATGCCATACCTAATCGGAGGGCCTTTTTGCAGATACCAGTCATACAATGTTAAAATCATACAAGAAGAGCAGACGCCAAACCTCCATCTCCAAGACTGGCTGTGGGCATGAAACAGTTTCAACTTCAACCTCACCGCTAATCCGCCCCCAGCCACTGTCTTCCACCATGTCTCACTACGTTGTAACAAAGGAGCAACTTCACCCAAGCCAACACTGCAATCTCCAGGCAAGATGATTCAAGTAGTGCGCCTAGCCTACGCCTCCACTCAAGCAACATTCTTCAGTGCTAGGTTCCGATCCTTCTATCTGGCTTGTACCACAGATTGTCTTTCTGTTTGTGATCATGGACTTGATGCGGCTGCCACTCGTGGTTAACCTCATGTCCAGTCATCGGAGCTGCCCTGCTCTTTCGAGGCACATCTTCCATGCGGGCAAAGTGAGGCAGGATGCCATGTGCATGAACATTCTGGGGAACTGCCAAGGCCATCGTCTTTGGTCCAGCCAGGCCGCGATCTTTTATCAGGCACGGTGCAAGGAGCGGCGAGAAGGAATGCTTCACACTATCCACATTGCTCCGTTGTCTGGACTGTAGAGGGTCGTCTGCAAGGGCAGGGCCGCTCCGCCTGTGCGCCGTCCTGGGATTGCCGAGACCACCAGAGCCAGACATAAGAGCGAGCTGGGTCACGGAGTTGGGAATCTCGAAGAACGGGGTCGTAGGACGCTTCGCAGAACCGGCGCTCCTGTAACATATTCCCATCAGCGTTCTGCCACAATCAATAAGCAACGTCATACCTTTCATGTGACAGGCCTCGCCTCTGTGTGCTCTCGTGACGACCAAGCTCCGTCTTGTGGGAACTGTAGCCACGCATTGACTTAGATCATTGAGAATAAGCACTGGCAACAGAGACAGGAGCTTACTCTCTTTCATGCACAGTGGCCCACGAGTCTGTGGTCGAGACATAGGAAAACATAGAGCGGGCATCTTCTTCCTCCACAGCAACAAAACGACTCTTGTCCACGTCTTCATGGCTCCGAGGCCGATTGCGATACTTGCGGGAGTCCCGGTTAGAGCGCTGCCTCAAGTAGTCCGGCCCCGAGAAATCAGCGGACTTGGATTGGACAGCACCGGCTTTCTCACTCATTTGAGTCGTCACTCTCTGCTCCCCAATGACATTGGCAGCCGAAAAGGTTGGTTGATAGTACCCATCGGGGGTCTGCTTGACCGGCGGCTCAGCGGCTAATTTCAAGTCCTGAAGCAGACCGTCAAGGGAGTTTCCTTGCCGGGTGATCTTTCCCATCTGACGATATACCTGCAGAACCTCTGGAGGCAGATCCTTGCTACATGTTGTCCAAGAAGTCTCATTGCCTTTCGCCCCTTGTGCTTTGTTGTCGGATGTAGTATCATTCTTGGGGTTCGCGGGCGGTACCTTAATAGAGATTGGTCTTCTCGGTTTCAGTCTCTGTGACTGCGTGGGTGCTTTGCTGCTCGTATTTGCCTCTTGCAGTACTGATCCTGGAAGATGACCAAAATAATCAGTCGACCCTTGCCATGGCATCAATGGCATTGGTGTTGAACTCCCTGTCGCGTGACTGGACAGCTGTGGTGGAAATGCTGTTGCCAGGCGCGGCATAGCGAACGGTGGGACTACGCTATCTGAGCTGGAACTGCATATGGCTTGTCCGAACAAAGCTGGGTGATTCGCAGCATTGCCGGCAAGATACATTCCGGTAGGAGGTGCTGATTCCGACATGCCCGCATGGCTGCCCAACGTGTTCATTCTGATTTTTGCAGAGGCGAATTCAAGATGCTCTCTGTAAATGCGGACTGTATCCAGTTCTTTAACCAGACCGACACGTTGCTCGACCAACAGCTGCTTAGTTGGAGGGTCTAGATCCCAGGTGTGCATCGCCATGTATCTGTCCAAGCGTGAGAGTTGAGCCGATAGGTTGTCGTGCTCCTTAGTCGCATCATTGAGAGACTTCTGGTAGAGGGGAGTCGGCATCACGGCGGGTGTAACTTGCTGAGATTGCATCCCCACTTGCCCGTTGATGAGCTGATGCCATTGATTTGCTGCAGGCGTACAGGGCATGCCATATCCTGAGTAAAACGGGCTCATTAAAGGCGTAGCACCTCCACTACTAGCGATGCTGCCGGCCGAAAAGTCCGACGCCGTTGAGATTGTCGGATGCGGCTGGACTGAGGGAGAAAAGTGGGGTAATGGATTTGGGGGGCTCAGGACATCATACAAAGTCGGCTGCCAAATACATGGGTTTGCATAGTTCAACATCGGAAACTCCGGCGCAGCAGGTATATGATACTCTGGGGCTTGCAGTTCAGGTTCCAGAAGCTGCTGGGTATCAGTCGGCCATGGCATGGCGAGCGAATGGAGCAATCCTGAAGGCCCTGCAGCAGAGAGAAGGTTTGGTGTTTGTCCTAAGGTCTGCAGGTACGGATCAAAGCTTCCATAAGGGGGAAAGATGCAATTCACAGGTACACCAGCAGACTGGGAACCATGTCTTGAAAGTCCGATGCCATCAGCCGTGTCCTTGGCTGGTAGAGTCTCCTGCTCGAAATCATTTTGGTTCTCTGCTGCAGATGTAACCAAGCATTTCCTGTCATCACCGATTTTCTGCTGCTGCTGGTACGTAGGCAGCTTCATCTTTGGGGGTGCCTCCATCGGAACAATTCGACCCCCGGCTGTGACACGTTGATGCTTTGGGGATGTGTGTTCCTTGAGAAACTGAGCAAAGCCTGAGTTGTTCTGTACACGATGGCTGCACGGTGGATCACTTGGCTGACGTGCGGTAGATCTCAAAGGGAGTTCGGGGGGTGCAGTTGTTCTTTCACTCTGACGCGAGAAATTCGATACGTTTCTTGACCGGTTGATGGATTGTTCGGACAACACGCTCGTACTATGTTGGCGGAGCAAGTTGCCTACATAAGGTCGGTCAGGGTCAGTCCAACTCATAGGTGGCCATGGCTCCTGGGGTATCTCTCTTGCTCCAGCACGCGAGTAGGACGTACTGCCAACCTCACTGAATCTGTTGATATCGATCCGTGCATTGCAGCGCATCCCCATGAGAGCAGAGATATCATATCTAGCCATGGCGGCTGGGATAAAAGAGGATAGGAGAGGAGAAGAACAGAAAGCAAGGGAAGGGGTAAGGTTGAACCTCGACAATGAATGGGATGTGACGCGTTTCAAACCAAGTTTTATGGACTAGAACAAGAGGACGGAGCAAGACTCAAAGATATCGATCGGGGTGGGCAATATGGTTAAGATTGAGGTTGGAGGTTGTTGTAGGATACGCACCTGCCAAAACACTTATTCTCTATAGATGGAAAGCGCGTCCGTCCCTCCGTCAAGCGAGTAGACACAAATCAAGAGCTTAGCACTGATGCTAGGAAGGTTATGATTAATGGATTGAGGTCTGGATGTTCCTATGAGTAATAGCGAAAAGCCTGAGACAACAGGTGCGAACTAGCTCTCGCTTTCAAGTGACAGTTATGTGAGGTCTATTTGCATCCACAATAGCAAGTTTCCGACAAGCCTTTCTTGAGAAAATGTTGTCTATTGCCTTGAAACAAATTACAATGCGAATTTGCTATAGCTCACAACTTGGAACATGGCCCTGACTACTACACCTGGGACAAGCTTGTAGTATTTAAAACTTGTTTCTTCGGCTGGTCTTTTATCTTCTTACTTCAAAGTTGATGCATAGTAGCACTCAAACGGTATTTCTTTAAAGATAAAAGACCAAATCAACCTTCTCTATGCTATATAGTGTATCAATGTCTATTGTTGCATCCATGATAATGAACATATAACCCGCATCCTATCACTGACAAGATGGGATGAAGAACCTCGATCCCTAAGTAGCATAGAGACTAGTATCACAATGTCCACTTATTATAGTTATTAGTGCCTATTAATTATGACTTCAGTTAACCAATATCAATGATCGCCTTGATCTTTCGTTGAAAATCACTTTTTGTCCATACCATAACGCCCAACCCAGGAAAATAGCCCAAGCTTGAGTATTAGTAAACAAAACCTCAACCAGCGCAAAGCATTTTGATCACATATTTTCCCGCAGAGCTAGATTTGAATCACTGGCCAACTTGATTCCCCCTTTGATGTCGGTGAGGTTCGACTTGTACCGCCGGTTCATTCGAATGCCAAAGAACAAGAACCCAGCTGCGGCAACCATACCAATCGCAACAAGGGTGACAATGGCGCCAATGACACCTGCCACGCCAGGTGTTATACTGGTGTTGCTCTTGCTACCATTCTGGATCGACGAAGCATCAGCATCGTCGGCTTCCTCCAGGATTCCGGGACAGAACACCGCTGAGCTGGCGCCGCACTGGAGACACCACGCTTCGGTGGAGTTGAGGGCGAACTTGGTCAACTCCTCCTCAAACTCCGAGTACGAGACATCCGTGTTGCTGGGGCTGAGCCCGAACAGGGGATAGGGATGGAACTCTGCTTCGTCATCGGTCCCATTACGCAAGAGGAACCGCACGTACAGCTGGGATGGATCAGGGTAGATCGGGTAGGAGTCGCTTTCGAGGCTGAAGAGCTCGAAAATGATCGATGCACCGAGCGCAGGTCGCGAGTAGAAGTTCGACTGCTGCGGGGATGGGAGTCGTAGGAGGGATGCGAGAGCCACCGCCGGCTCGGCGTTGCCGAAGAGGAAGGTCAGTTTGCTGCTGTCGCCCCGGTTGTAGATGTTGGTGTTGAAAGCATCTAAGACACGAGACGCCATGGATCGGCCCGCCACAGCGCGAACATTGCTGCTCTGAATGGGACTGGAGGCTGTGGTGTTGCCATTAGTCGCAAAGGTGTACTGGTCTGCGTACCAGTTGGCGAGCTTGATGTCGTCTTCGTTCAGGCTGTGGAGGAGCGATTCATTGTGCAAGTACTGGTACTGGAGGAATTCAGATATGGAAACAGCGTTGAGGTAATTGGCTGATGAGCGATCGAATGTGTCTCTTAAGGAGAATTCATACAGACGATTGTAGAACGCCCCGGATGTCTGGACTAGGTCTTGAGTCTCAGGGCTGTTTCGGTACTCCAGGTCGGCAGTTTGATGCAACATGCAGTTTTGGTGGCCTGCCACGATCACTGACTGAGGATCGTCGAGGCTCGCACTAACGACGCGGGAATACTGATATCCACCCAGAGGTCCTGTAGTTACGGAGCCATTCGACATGAGGAAAATGGGATCAAAGAATTGAGCATCGTATGTCTCATTCAACGCCGGATAGAGACCCTGCATGAAGGCCTGGGCGGAGGCAATCACGGAGGCGTCCGTGGTGGCCAAGATATCGATGTCTTCATCTGCAAGTACATAGGAGGAAATCCGTTCGATTCTCGTACTGGGACTAACGTCCGTCGAATGAATCGCGACATATCGATCACGGAAGGCCGACCCAGCAGCATACAGCTCACTGGCGCCATAGGGTGTCACTACATTCTCACGGGGAAGCGCTGTCGGGACGCTGTCTCCGTGCAATGTATAGGCAAAGACAGCCCAGACCTGTTCTTTCAGGTTTTGTGCCGATACTGGAATAGCATTTTGCAGCAGAGCGATAGCAAGCGCCAAGAGAATGTCGCGCGAGGACCGCATCTTTCAGGCTGGAAGTATGAATGAGTCTAGTAGTGTATAATGTTCATAGGATTGATGCTTGTTCAACTTCAAGACTCCAAGACTCCGACTGACAGAGCCGAAAGGAACGAGACAGGGCTGGGAGGACTCAAGCATATATGCTGGGAACTGGAACAGTCGTGCTGATGGAACAGTATCTTCTAGTGTACTAATTAGCCTGATAAGTCTACCAGGCCTTCGTCCTATCTTGACCTTCGGGGCTCATTTCCATGGTTCCGATATTGATGCAATGAGGTGCTCCTGTCGTTACCTTGTTCCAGATTCATTGGAGAGCCATATCAACCACTATAGGAGTCTAGCCAGAGGAACCAGTACTGAAGCTGCCGCATTTTGTACTGGCATGGCCATCTTCGAACATCGAATGTTTGCTGTCCTGCTCATTGCTGCCACCTTGACGAGCTTAACGGACGCTTCATAGCATGACAATATCACGGCCACAAGACTTCCATGACCTGCTAGTTTGCTCATGGTGGAAAGAGTGTCCAATTGGCCTGGAGCACTCCGGTGAAACTTCGCAGCAGACTACATGACCGTGTTGATGAGTCGATGACGCCTAGACGGAAGGTAGCATTCAGGTGGACGCAACCATGGGAGTCACCACCCCGCTGTAGCAGAGGACAGGGTAGATTCCAGTAGAAGCAAATCTTGCAGATGAAGAGGGACATGACTGTCAGTCAACAACAAGCTGTATTATGGATAAGTAGTCGCAATCAAGTCGAAGTGTTGAAGGAAGGAAGTATTCAGGTAGCCAGGAGGCACGCTAAGTCCTAAAGCGGGATTGGTGATCGCTGGATCTATAAGTTTGACAACTGGCGGCTGAAGACTACTACTTAGTAGCCTGGGAAGTAGCCTAAATAGTATGCAGGTGTACAGTACATTACCCAGTAGCTGGAGAGGGAGGTAGTAAGAATTGTCAACATAGAATGAAGGTAAAACACATAGCAGTGAACAATTCGAAGTGCACTGTAGTTACCTATTTCCTAGTAACACCCGGTTGCTGACCCAAAAGAGAAGCAGGCCGAATTCCGGCCGGGGGGGGGTTGTTACTCAGTAGAAAAATCTGACTGAGTAGTCAGCAGCTGGAGAACCTCCGTCCCTCCGCCCGTCTCAACTTAACCTAACCACTTCTAAAGCCCTACGCTTGCGCCCTACCCCTAAGCCCTCATTTCTGCTCTTGGAAAGGACAGGCATCTCCCTCCCATCGGGAATCGTCCCTATCATGGCCGACATAACTGCGACAGGCCCGAAAGTTGAGGATTCTATAACCTCCGAACTCCCTCCGCTCCCGACCGAGACTGACAGCCATGGTGAGTTGTGCTGGGGGCGACCTGAGAAGGAGGCGTTTCGCCCCCGTTTCCTGCTTGCTCTGAACCCAACCAAATCCGATCTAAACAATCATTGCATGGCTTCCAGGCCTTCACAAGGCGACACAGTGCTACTGCTCAATTACTTTACTATGATGCTAACTTGCTGTCTTCTCAAGTGACCCCCAAACTGTCGCATCCCCTCGAAGAAGAGGATGGCTCGGTGTCGCCTCGGGCTTCCAAAAAACGTCGCCTCGAATCCGAGCCGGCCGACCTCGTCTTGCCACCACACCCCAGTGAATTGACAGCAGACCAAGTTCCTGGAAATCAGATTGAACAAGAACTAGCATCTGCGTTGGGCCCCAGTATCGTGGACACGGTGGAACACCCAGGAGATACCCCGACTCAACTCGACGGCGCTCACCTCGATGGCACTCAACTCGACAGCGCTCACCTCGATGGCGCTCACCTCGATGGCGCTCACCTCGATGGTGCTCAACTCGAAGGCGCTCACCTCGATGGCGCTCAACTCGAAGGCGCCCACCTCGATGGCGCTCAACTCGGTGGTGCTCAACTCGATGGCACGGCAACGGATACCGCAGTTGCGCCCGAGACATCTGCCGACATTGATTCGGATATGGCCACCGTGATTTCGAGCATCATGAATCACGCCGAACGTGTAGAGGAACAAGTTGTGATCGGTCAGCAACAGCTGGCGGATACCGCAAGTCCGGCCCCGAAAGGCATGGTTTTCGTCAAGGCCAACTCCCACCTGAAGACTCAGAGTTTGCCTATTTTGGACAACCTGGTATGTGAAACAATGTTCGAGACGCACTTGAGACGCAAGAACGAAAGCAACTGACATACCACTCCCCTATAGTCTACCCAAATCCTCTCTTTGCTTGCCAAGTCCTCGTACCAAGAAATCACCTCATTCGTTTCCGAGCCGGAGACGGAGAGTGGCCAAGCCTACGCTACCATGCGCTCGTTGTTCGACCACACGAAGAAGGTCTACTCTACCAAGAAGTCTTTTCTGTCTCCGACTGAATTGGAGCTTACTGAGTCGTCGCAAGTTGATATCATTCGAAAGGCGAACCTGGCGTCCTTCGTCTCCAGCATCTTTGGCACACAGGAAATCGGATTTTCAGAACTCAATGACAACTTCCTGGATGTGTTTGTTCCCGAAGGCGGTCGTCTTCTCAAGGTGCAGGGTGCTTTGTTCCTGGAACTCAAGACTCAGGCTTTCATTGCGTCCATGAACAATTCAGAGCGAACCCGAACCGAGTTACTCTATGACCTTTTCCCAGATGACCTGGAGCAACAACTCCTGGACCGCCGCCCAGGAACTCGCCAGCTGGCTCCCAGTGAGGCCGACTTTGTCAAGCGCGCCGGATCGCGCCGTGACATTCTACTTAGTGACGTCAATAACGAGGAAGCCATGAAAGCCTTGCCAGACAAATACCATTGGGAGGACTTCCTTCGAGACCTGAGCTCTTACATCACCAAGAATTTTGATACTATCAGCAACCAACAGGTCTGGCTCCCCCTTGCTCCTACCTTGACTATCCAGTGTGCTAACGGCGAGCCAGACGAAAAAGATCACCAAGGGTCGCCAGCCATCCTCATCAAATGGAGAATCTCAAGAACCTCCCAGCGCCCCCCTTCAAGGCCAATTCCCAGTCTCGACGCAGCCACCGGATGTTCCCGTCGACCGTAACATGCACGGTGATCTTGTTGCTCGTGCGGCGCGTGCGGCGCAGATCGCTCTCCAAGGCCATGGATTAAGGCGCTCTCAACAGCAGCAGCAGTACCAGCAACAGCAATCTCAGCAGAACCAACAACAGCCACAACAGGTGCACCAGCCCCAGCAGCACCAGCCCCAGCAGCATCATCAGCAACACACAATTCACCAGCCCCAGCAGATGCAGCAACAGCAGGCCCATCAGCACGCACAGCCGCAGGGCGGTCAGATCTTGCATGGGTATTCTGCTGCTCAGCCGACGGGTCAGATGCCTCACCAGCAGACTCACCAGCAACCTTACCATCACAGTCCAGCGCCATCTGGCTACCAGCACCCGCCCAGCCAGCTCACATTCCAGCCAAGCCCTCTTCAGGCCAATTTCCAGCAATACAGCCATGTGACCCCCGCGTCGATCCCACGACCCAACTCGGCTGCTGCCAATCACGGATACATGCCCGGGATACCACACTATTCTCAATCGCAGCCCACCCAGGTCCTCTATGAGCGGGCTCGCATGGCAGCATCTGCCAAGTCATCGCCTAGCAGCCGCAAATCCGGGTTGCCTAGTCAGCGTCGTCCCTGGACAACTGAAGAGGAGAATGCGTTGATGGCAGGTTTGGATCGCGTCAAGGGACCCCACTGGAGTCAGATCCTCGCCATGTTTGGCCCTGGAGGAACCATAAGTGAGGCCCTGAAAGATCGCAACCAGGTCCAACTCAAGGACAAGGCTCGTAACCTGAAGCTGTTCTTCCTCAAGAGTGGCATCGAGGTGCCCTACTACCTGAAGTTCGTAACGGGTGAATTGAAGACTCGCGCCCCAGCCCAGGCTGCCAAGCGGGAAGCTCGCGAGCGGCAGAAGAAGCAGGGCGAGGAAGACAAGGCTCATGTGGAAGGCATTAAGGGTATGATGGCCCTTGCCGGCGCCCATGCTCAGCCAGTTGGTATGGGTCACGGGCACGATGCCATGTCTGCCTCCCCTGGACTGACACATGACCCCAATGCTCATTCCGCCTTCGACCAGACGGCGGAGCAGAACCTGATGCAGACCCTCGGTCAGGAGGTGCATGGAGAGTCTTTCGGACAACCCCAGCATCATCATCACCAGCATCACCCGCACCCGCATCATCAGGACCATGTTGATCCGAATATGCATTTGGGTCAGTGATGAGACCGAGGCTCATGCTCAAACACCAATTAGCTTCACTTCTCGGTTTTACTTCTTTCCTCCCTTGATCGAGTTGTATTATTTCTCATGGTTCTTTCTTTTCTCTTCTTCGCTGGGGATTCTGAGCGGTTTTTACTGTCTACGACTGTCTATTTTCTGTGATTCTTTGGTGGGATTGTATGAGGGTTGATGCATATGGTGCGAATGGAGCACGAAGCTGTAGGAGTATCTTGCGGATTGTACAACAATAACTGAATAATCATGTTTTCTTACTTACTTTCTGTCTTTGTTCATTCTCACTGAATAATACTAAAGGAGGACAAACAAGTGTTCAGTCATAATGAAAGTGCCTAGCTTATGCTTGCCAGTTGGTGCTCCAGTAGCAGTCGGGCCGAACGCGGCCAAGAGAGACAGAGACTAAGTTATGCTTTGCTACTCCGCTCCAACCACCGCGGCAGTTGATAATTCAATTCTATCCCAACTCATGTTCCCATTCTTTCACTCCCCCCAGAAAACCCCGGTATCACCTCCAATCCCAATCGGGCGCCGCGATAACACCATTGCAGGGGTTATATTTGAACTTGTATAAATTGCTTCAATACTGCTGACCTTGCATTCACCGCCGACGCCTTCCCTTCTCACCCATTGGACTCCCCTTGCGCTTTCCCATTAGCCACTCCCAACCATGGCCGAATCATCGTCATTACAGCCTGCTGTTCCGCCTTCATCGCAACCTCCTCCTCCTCTTCAACAATCATCATCATCAACTGCAGCTTCCTCCTCCACGCCCGTCCCTCCTCCATCCAGCCAACCCCCTGTCACCTCACCCGGCACGGTAATGCCTAAACAAGAACCCGACGTCGCCGATAGCAACACCAATAAGGTCCTGGATGCTCCGACTGAGCAAGAAGACGTCGACATGACCAACGCGCCCAGCACCAACGCCGGTGCCAACCCGGCTGCGACCAGCGCTGCCGACGATGTGGGCAATCCGGTTCCCGCGCCGACCTCCGTGGACGCAGCTGCCGCCGCCGCAGCGCCGTCGAAGAAGGAGACTAGTCTCCGGGAGTTTCTAGGGAAGATGGATGAATATGCACCTATTGTACGTTTTGGCTTTTCTGATCCGGCGGCTCCCCTCACTTTTCTTTCCACTTTCCAACGTTCAATCATCCATCCCGCCGGTCACTCACTATTTCATTTCCATAATATCAATCCAATCACGATTGTCTTCCTCTTCCTAACGATAGACTGAAATTCTAGATCCCCGACGCCGTAACAGCACACTACCTCACGCTGGCGGGCCTCCCACCCCCCGGCAACGGCCCCAACCAGACCCCGCCGCACCTCGCGCGCCTCCTCGCCCTCGCCACCCAGAAGTTCATCGCCGACATCGCGGCGGACTCGTACCAATACGCCCGCATCCGTGCGTCCAACAGCTCCTCCGCCAACAACCCAATGGGCAGTTTGAACGCCGCCTCGGGGTTGGGCATGCCCGGTGGTGCCGGGGGTGTCGGGTCGACGGGCGCGGCGACGGGGCCGTCGGGTGGAGAGGCAGGCAAGGGGAAGGCGGGCACACATCTGGGCATTCAGAGGCCCGGGTTCGGCGGAGGAGGGTCCGGCGGGTCGGGACAAGGTCGAACGGTGCTCACCATGGAGGATTTGGGCATGGCGGTTGCGGAGTATGGGGTTAGTGTTAAGAGGGGGGAGTTCTATCGGTGAACGGGTCTTGGTGATTTTCGGTTGAAGGTAGGCGTGGAACAGTGGGTTTCATAAAAAGTGGGTTTGATCGGTGAGAGGATCTTTTTACGGGGGTTCCGTTTGATATGACTTTCTCTTCCTTCTCTTTTGAGGGCAAGGCTGGCTGGGCTGCTGGGTTGATGCGATTCCATGCTTGATTTTCTCTTCTTGCAGTCCTCCTTAGTCGGGGGACCTCTGGGTTGTCTATTTGATGGCGTATTATTGCGGCGTGAGGGGGTGGGATGTTTCCTGAACGATAGATATCCTGCATGTTGGGCCTTGAGCCTGCACAAATCGGAGTATGGGTGTTTTTTCTTTTGAACTTGTGGTTTCCTTTCTACATGTATATGCAATGCCAAATAGTACCCTTACGATTGCCTCTTGGTAGCACACTTTATGACCTTGAATCCTCGTATGTCATGGATAGATAGATAATACATAATATACATAGCCAGCCACCTCTTTCCTATCTTTATCTCTTTTACCGAGACCCTCCTCTAGCATATCAAGCACAAACTAAGAAAACGCCAAAAACAAACTACAATGCAATTTCAATTCCAACTTGCACAGAGCATATCTCCCACTCGCCAAAGACGAGAGATTTCACTTGCGCAAGTTCGCGACCAACAAAGAAAAAGCCCCGCCGTAAAGAAAAAGGTATCGATCCACAACCCCAGACATGTCCCCCATGTCCCCCATGCCTTCCCAACAACAGACAAGATCTATTTGTTCTTCGACATCTTGTACGTGAAACGCTTGCGAGTTCTAAGCACAAACCCAACCGTTAGCACGCACGCACTCTTCTTTCGTAACCTTTATCCTTGGCCAGATCCACTCAGCACGCGTGAGCTGAGCCCACATCCCCAGATCCTGACACCGACCCTCAACCTCACCCCGCCCACGGAAGACAAGAACGTAAAGAGAGGGGAAAACATACGGCACGAACTCCCCCAACTTCCGGCCCACCATCTCCTCGGTAATCAGCACGTCGTGGTAGGTCTTGCCGTTGTGGATCGAGAACTTCAGCCCCACGAAGTTCGGCAGGATGGTCGCGGCGCGCTTCTGCGTGCGGATCGGCGGCGTTCCGGGGGGAGCGGGCAGTTTGCGCGGGAGGGGGAGACTATATTTTTTTCGGACGGGGGTTAGTTGTTGGGTGGGTGCTTGGGTTTGGGCTGTGGGATTCCGGGGGGGTTGATGGGTGCGGTGGGTTCAGAGCAGCGGCAGCATTAGCGATAGCAGTCTGCTGTGACCCCTATGCGTAGAGGTTGGGCTGGGTTCTGGGAGGTAAAACGTACGGGACGATGTTGGGGCCTGGTTAATGGGGATGTTAGTGTTGGGGTTTGGGTTGATGAGCTGGGAAGAACGTAAGGGTAGGGATTGACTGACCTTTCCAGACCGAGCGGCCGAGGAGGGCTCGCGTGGGGAACATCTTAAGATGACTGACTGCCTTGTGTAGTGCAGGTGGTTTGCTCCTGGCTGCGAGAAGGGGAAAATATTGGAGTAGACGGGCTGGGCGGGCTTTGGATAGTTGCAAATCGTCCGGCGGAGGTTTCGGCGGAGGTGATTATGTAAGATCTTGCTTGCGCTTCCGCCCGCATCTATATGGCGGGACAGGGGAGGGTCGCTGGGTCTTGCTTCTGTATTAGTCGGATTTTAGGAGAGGAGAGATATTTGATACTGGGTTTACGTTGTTTAAATTAGTGGGCAAAGGTTTCATTTTGATGATGCTAAATGCTCGGGTGTTTGTTGTATGCTGTTAAATGGTGCTATCCTAGAGCCGCCAGCGACTGTAGTGGTTTTTCAAACTGCAACTGTTCTTAAAATTACTCCAAGGCAAGCTCCTCCAAAATCTGGGTCAAGCTCCTGATTCCTTTCAGCACGTTCTCATCCGGCCCTTGGCCCGGGGTCCAGCTCGCATGCGCAAAGTCGATCAGCCGCAGGTCATGCACTTTAGGAGGGTCCTCTTCGTCCTCGTCGAGGTCCAGCTCCCCCAGCTCTGCGACCTCGGGGCCGAGGTTGATATTGATAGCCTGGTGAGACACGCTGCCTTGGCCAAGGGGTATATCAACTACTTGAAAAGACCCCTCTGAGATCTCGAACTCGACATTGTCGTCCTCCTCTTCATCGTCATCTTCCTCTTCTCGCGCCGGTCGGGGCTTCTGCTCCTCTTCCAGCGCCTTTTCCATGGCGTCCGGATCACCTTCGTAGACAATCAACACACTCGACGAGTACATGCGACTTTCCTCGGACTCCAGAACCTCCTGCACCTGTTTCAACTCCTCGGCTAGCCGTCGCGCGACCAGCTGGGACCGATCCACAGCCCCGGCTTTGGCCCCGGCGAGGAACGTCCGGAACCCGTCCTTGATGTTGCTCTCCGTGAGCGAGCGGCCGTACCATTTATCGTAGCGCTTGTAGCCATCTGCCTCGATGACCTGCCCCTTGGCGCCCTCGGCGCCCTCGTATTTCGTCGCATACGGGTCGGTCCGGCTCCCTTCGTCGGTCTCCCCACTCACGCCCGTCCAGACCTTCATCCCAGCGATCCGGAACCCCAGCGTGGAGCTCGTCGTTTCCTTGGACACCGCGTCCAGTTTCGCGCGCTTCAAGGGCGGCGCATCGTCCGCCCAGAGCCGCGCCCCCAGCTTCACGTCCAACACATTGGGGCGTTTGAACCCCGCGGCCACATTCTCCAGCACGATCGAGATACCCGTCTCGAGTTTCTTTCCGTTAGAGGGGACCCACGACGACTCCGCGGCTGCTGCCGGGCTGCTTAAGCTGGCCGTTTCGGGGGCTGCCGTCACTATGGGGGTCGTTGTCGCTCCGGCGGCTGGGGCTTGGGATGCGACGGTGGCCGTCGGGGTATCCGACGCGGAGGAATATTCCGTGCCGGGCAGCATGATGGCGCCGGCTTGCTGGGCCGCAGCGAGGGCCAGAGGCTGCTGTTCATTCGCGGAAGTTAACGTGCCGATATACGTGGGCAGGAATTCTTGGAATGCCGGGTGCAGGGCGCTGGATTCGTAGAACGCGACTTCTTGGGCGGTGCAGGGCTTTGCGATGAAGGTGCCGGATACGGTGCACTGGACGCCTTCGCTACAGCAGAGGTTTTTGTTAGTAAATTGGCCGAAGCTTTTACTTCAAGAATGGCGAGGATTTAGGTGGTAGAGTTGAAGCGATTTCGTGTTGTGTTGGTTGCGACAAGGGAGAGGGATGCGACAGGGAAATTTGTTGCGGCACACTCACTGTCCGGCGGCGGCATGGTCGAAAGCCACGAAACTGTCGTGGTCCAGCTTTGCGGTCATCGCGCTCTCTGATCGCGAAGATGATTGCATGGTGAGGGAGGTTTCGAGCACAGTAAGGGAGGTCAATCACTGTCCAACAGAGACCGATGGAGTTTAGACGGCATTCCGCATGAGTCACGGAAAGGGACGGAGGTTCAGCAGGCGGGATGTTGCAGGGTCGGTGGGTTTGGAGAAGATGAGAAGGAGGAAGAAATCCTCCAGCAGTGGGTCAAGGAGGGAGAGAAATATATTCCTGTTAGAAGCCTAGCAAGGGGGGGGAGAGAAAAGGAGAGACAAGCCACAACAGGCTGGTTGGTTTTGCTTTTGCTTTTGGTTGGCACTCTCAATGAGAGAAGTAAATGGAAAATGTCGGGGAAGCCGATCTGAACCCCCAAACAAGGCTGAGGGGTATCGATCATCATTAAAATGATTAAAAATCACATTACGGGGATATTTAACCACCAAAGAGAAAAAGTCAGCCTGGAATTTCCCAGCCTGGCTGATACGAAGCGCTTTAGCATAAGATCGTCTCTTATGCTGACTGGATCTGGTGGCACAAGGCAAGAATAAGTTAATCTCGCCTGCTTTCTATACTTCTGAATGGTCTGTCGTCTGCCGCTCAGCTCTCGTCTGGTGTCTACATTCTCGACTGCCTGATATTGCGTCGATATAACTCGCTGCATCTGCTTGGGCTGTATTTTAAGCATCACATGGCCACTGATTATCTGCATAAATTCTGCATTTTGCTGGCGATGTACTGGACTATACACACTTGTCCTTGTCCTGAACACAATCATCTCCAAGTTAATCATATTATCTGAATCTTACTTTGATCTTACTTTACTACAGAATGTTTGAGTATCTATCGATGTTGCATCTTGTCTCAGCCTGTAAATTCATTAGAAGTGCCCAAAACTGCCAGTCTACAAACAGCCAGAGGCAACCTGCATGGACAACAACCCATTCACTGAGGGTGTTCTGAGGGAAGCACGTCTTGCCCTTTCCTTCATTGCAAAATGACTACCAGCAACCCTTCTCCTCCCTCATGATTCTCCTTCTCTTCAACTCCACTGTTCACCCTCATTCTCTTCCCTCACCCTCCTTATCTCTTGTCATCTCTTCATCTCATAGCCTTCCTCTTAGCACACTGCCTTAACACCTTCCCAATTCAAAATTTGAAATGGAAAACAAGGAAGAAACTTCACCTTCTACTCAGCCTCTTACCTCAAACTCACTGAAGCAGGCGGAAGATGCTCAAGCTCAGTTGGCCTCGGACATGTCTAACACCTTGAACCTCGAATCGACTGATTCAGTTTCCATACAGGCACAGGCCGATAGCATCGGGAAACAAGAAGCTTCAGCGTCTTTCGACAATATCATCATCAAGCCCAAGAAGAAGAAAAAGAAGAGCAAGAAGTCCAGGAGCAAGCGTGGCCTGGTTTGTCTATGAGTGTGGGTCGATTGCTGAGGACTGAGCTGACCGTAACAGGGCAAGCCCACTGGTTTTGAGGAATACTACGTCGATGTTCCCATGACACCAGCTGAGTTTGAGACTGAGCAGGTGTTATACAACCCGTATGTGATCTTAGCATGTATGTTGAAATTACTCTCAGCTAACCATGCGTCACAGGTCTCGACCCATTTTTCAGTAAGCCTTTTATGCCGACGGAACACTTGAGATGCTGATATGTGATAGTCGGATTGAAGATGCTTTGCAACGCTACCAGAAGAATCGTCGCCTGGAGAATTTCCGAAGGGATATATTTCTGAAGTACTTGGCTTATGGGGGTGTGGACATCTCTCCGAGAATGTTCGCAGGCGCCGATCAGAAAGATCTCAAGGACCTCGACAGCGAGCAGATCCTTCAGGCTAGAACTCAGACTAGCATCCCAAGGGACACAGCAAACCTCACCATCGATTTTGATGAGGTGGTTCGGGGCTATCTGTAAGCACTGACCTGACTCAAGGTGAATTGTCGCTGACACCGAACAGGACCTCCTACTTCCCATCCTACTTCAACCCCGAAACCGAAGACATGGTCAAGCTGGGTACGGTCACCATTCGCAACTTTCTGTCCTACCTACTTTATCATGAGGTCTGCCCAGAATACAAGGACAACATCGATCAGGCCAGGAAATCGTGCGATATCGCCGCCACGGAGCTTTGGAAGAATCAGCAGTTCATGGTCAAAGGGCCGGGCCACTTCAACAAAGCCTGTTCTACGCTCTTCGGAGGCCACCTCTATGACTATTATACTGAGGAAGACGATGAAGAGCGCTCATGGGCGGACGGCCCTCCCATGACTAGAGATGTGGCGCGCAAAGTCGTGAGATTTGCCCTCGCTGGTGCAGGATCAGATCAACTGGCTATTGACTTCCGAGAGTTAGGTCATAAAGATGAACTAAGATCCAAACGTGTAAATGATATCCACGGCTTTGAGATTATGGTTATCCACCCTCCAGGCGATACTGTCCTTGACTTTTACAGAACGCACGCCCCGGATCTCGTTCCTGTTGGCCGTGTCACCGCGATATCCTACTGGGACCCAGCAAAACCAGCGTGTGATATGACCCCGGAACAGCGGCAGCAAGCCACGACGCCGGTCATTTTCAGTTTCTTTGTGGAGCAACCTCTGCTGCAACTCTGCTATCCGGGTATGAAGGTGATCACACCGGTGTGGAGGATGAATTGTGGGCTTGATTATTTTGAAGAGACCTTCACCGTCTACGGCACCATCTACACGGTTCTTGCAAATGACCTTATGCTGGGGTGGAAGAAACCACGGCCAGTATATGACACTGCAGACGGAGACGAAATGGAGGCGGATGAGGATGATGCTTCTGAGCAGGGTGATGGGATTGCGGATGTGCAGGATGTACTCTAAGCACATTCCATGCGAGTGTCAAGCTTGGAATTTACAGTAGCAGTTTAGCCACGCATGAAACTTACATAACTGACTAGCAGAGATAAGAAGACATGAACATTGTTCAGACCCCTTATATCGAAGCCTAGTATTACTATCTCCAACAAACATACACTCGTCATGATCAACAGTGTCAAGCTTCAGACGACTTCAGAAGCAGTTTTCCGGTGGTCTTACGGCCTTCCAGATCACGGTGTGCCTCGGCAACATCTTCCAGAGGATAAACCTTATGGACTCTAGCCTTGAGCTTGTTTGACTGGAGCAGCGAGAAGAGCTCGTTGACGTAGAACTCAAACTCCTCGCGAGTCTCGATGTAGCCGAACAGCTGAGGTCGAGCAACCTTGACACACTTGGGGGAGAGCTTCCTGTGGATGGACATGTATTAGCCTTGACGGACACTGCAACCCGATTATTTCATGAATTCTTACTGTAGAGGCAAAGGCGGCACCGGACCACTGGCATTACCGAACCAGACGATGGTACCCTTGCGCTTCACGGCCTCCAAGCTTCCCTCCCAGGTGTCCTTGCCGACGGAGTCGAAGACCACATCCACGCCCTGACCGCCCGTGATCTCCTTGACCTTCTGGGGCCAGTCCTTGCCCGCCTCACTGCGGTAGTCGATCACCACATCCGCGCCGAGGCTCTTGGCCAGCTCACACTTCTCCGGACCTCCGGCCGTCCCGATGACCTTGGCGCCGATCGACTTGAGCACCTGCGTCATGAGGGTGCCCGCCCCGCCGGCGGCGGCATGCAGCAGCACCCACTCGCCCTGCTTGACCGGGTAGGTCTCCTTGGCCAGGGTGATGACGGTCAAGCCGCTCAGGAACGCAGCCATCACGTCCTCGTCGCTGAGTCCCTCGGGGATCTTGACCGTCTTGGCCATGGGCACGGCGGTATACTCGGCGTAGCCGCCCGTGCTGAGCCAGGCGACCCGGTCCCCCACCTGCAGGTTGTACGGGTTGGGCCCGGGGCCCAGCGCCACGATGGTGCCGGCGCCCTCCCGCCCGAGGATCTCGGGCTTCGCGGACGGGTACAGACCGGTCCGGAAGTACGTGTCGATGTAGTTCACGCCCGAGATGTGGTTCTTGACCAGCACTTGGCCCTCCTGGGGACTGGGCACGGGCTGGTCGGACTTGAACTCGAGGACCTCGGGACCGCCTAGCTTTTCGACCTGGACGGCCTTCATGGTCTGAGGGACGGACATTGTGGTGTTGGTGCGGGTGGGGAAGTTGATGATGGAGGAGGATGCGGGTCGAAAGTGAGCGTTTAGAGCTGCGAGACGGAGCGTCGGGGATGAGACAGACGCAGTAGGCGTGGCGGTGCGGAGTAGACGAGGGACGATGCGATTGAGGGGCATTGGAGGGGGGGGGGAAGAAGGGAAGAATTGAGAGGTGAGGGACGGGGTGATCGCTGGGTTATATCCAACGTACTTCAATACGTACTTGTCAACAGATGAACAACACGAATACTATCACTAATCTTCAGGCGGCTTAATTCCGATCAGTTGCTTGTTTCTGTCATGATCTCGAAAGGTCGTGTTTACTATCATTAATAATTCTGGTTCCTTTACCCCACATCATTCCGCCTATCGTTACGTCTACGCTTTACGACGAGGTAGTTTCCCCCCTTAACTTATCGTCAATATTTCGCTAATAAGTGCTAGAGGCGAGAGATCGCTACCTGGCAACCTCTTGACTTCCTTCCCTGTCTCATCTCGCATCTCACAAGTCGCAATTGTGTTCGTCGTTCGTCGTTCGTCGTTCGTCGTTCTTCATCCGACGGAGTGACGTTATCGGAATCGTTGCCGAACCGTCGGATATCCGCGGCCTCAGGCCGATGATCGCTCCGAACTGCCGACGGTATGACTTATCCAGGCAGGGCTGAGTCATGGATTGAATCAACTAAGCACAACTCCCCGCATGGCGGTCTTACCCTTTCTGGAAGACCCCGTTGTCGTGCCCGCCCGCAGTGGAACTGAACTACTCAAATGGATCGATCGATGATGCTTTGCTCTCCTCCTACAAGAATCCCACGATGGAGTCATCGTACTCCTTCTGACAGTGGCCCTGCATCACCGTCAGACGTATATCCCAACCTTGCATCCCATCAAGCCAGCACACCCCTCCCCAAGCCTTCGCCTTCTTTTCGATGCAGCTTGCCACCCATCACCTCTTCTCACCGTCTTTCCAGCTGATATCATCGCATCGCTTGCCGCAGATGAGTTGCTCATTGGATGATGCACACCATACGACCAGCATCTACAGGTCAAGAATGCTGCAGCTCATCCCAATGGTGGCATATGTAGCCAAAGGCGCCCAATACAGACCATGATCGTATGTGGCTTTGCTTAAGCCCTGCTCTACTAGTAGCCTGTCATGCCCGTCAGGCCAATAACCATCCCTCTAGTTCGCCGCCTGTGCCTTGAGGATGACGCCTTTCCCGCAGGTTAAAACGTCGCCTGCTTACCTGCCCCTGGTCGAACAATTGGCACCTAAACCGACGACAAAGGACTGGTGGGACAAATCAACGGCCAGCTTCGCCTCTACGCATGCACGATCAAGCCATTCTCCTGTCCGGGGATCAGAATGGTTTCATCTTCAACGACTCCTGTTGACATGGCTCAGGCAGGACCATTCATTCCCAACGCTTGACATATGGCCACGATCGTCGTGTTTCAGCGTCCGGGGGGATTGATTCGCTCGTGGTTAACGCCCAATCTCTGGGGCTGGATTCTGATAGGGCCAGTACCCCGGCCAGAGGCGCTGCCCAACCGGGTTCCCATTGGGGTCGATTTACTTTATATAGTCTCTCCGTGTTCTCTGTGCTTGTTTTCCTTGTCCCTGGAAGTGTATATCAGGACTGCTAACCATACTTTCGCCTAATACTTAATTCCAACCGCCCCCGGAAGGTTTTCAGAGACTGCCCCAGTCTTCTGCTCACTAGTTGCTCCAATTTTTTCTGCGCCGTTCGGCCCCATTTCAACTCAATTGCTGATTTCCTGACTCCGCCCGGTGCTTGTGTGCTTTTTGTTTACTTTTGATTGTTTGCGTCCGCTGGATCCCTTGCTCTTTCCTCGAGAACGTTTCTCGCGTGAGTCCGACGTTCGACGGATTTATAATGCCAACAGCCAGGAACCTGATTCTGATCCGACGTGCCACCGCAGGATAAATCCCAGGAGTAACGCACCCACACCGATTGGAGCCTTGTATTCGACTGAATTAAAAGTTTTCTTCTGTTCTGATTTTTGATTTTCCCCTCGTCGCCATGTATCTCAGGACCAAGGTGCACTTGCGCTGGCGCAAGCAGACCCAATGGCCACCTGCGCCTTCCGTGGAAGACGAGACGGTATCCCTTTCTCGCGAACTACACGGGATGGCCAAGTTAGGAGAAAAGCCCGGAGTAGAGGGTGTCTGCTCTCGGGGAACTATTGACCAACATCCAGTGATCGTGGATGTGCTATCCTTCTCCTCAGTCGTTCACACGACAATCTATGACGACTTAGTCCGCGAGAGCGGCTCTGATGACAACGCAGGGCCGCCAACGCCGTCAGCGGAGATAGAACATGACCCAATGCTTTACATTGTCGAGGATGATCAGGCTGTGCCTCTGTCGACCTCATGGGCTTCGTCAGATAAGAATCGCGGGCCTCCAACTTCGCTAGCACGGCCGCAGCAAGACCGAACCCCGAGCAAGACCCTCGATGGCCGCCCTAGCGGAGCAAGCTTTAGTGTCCAGAGGGACAGTATGCCCAAGAGAGATATGGCCCAGGGATCCCGGACTGGCTCTGTGACATCCAAGACGCCCACCAAAGCGATCGAAACCACGACCACGGCATCCCCGCCTAGTTTGAAGCGAGCTGGCAGTGCGAAGCCCAGTTCATCTGCCAAGCAGGTGACCAGGCCTCCCATGCCGAAGCCGGGCCATCAATCTGATTCGGCTGCCATTGGGGTGAAAGGTTCCTTGACTAAGCCTCCGGCCTCACCTACAGAAAAGTCTTCCACCGGGCCTACTTTGGCTGAGAGGATAGAGGAGAAATTGCGCCAGAGGCAAGAACTTCGCGCATCGCAAGAGGCCTCACAGAACAACGATCAGAACTGTCCGCCACCTGCAGCTGCAGCTGCCCAACCGATCGCCACCGTTGAGCAAGCAGGCATCAAGCCATTCGTTCCGTGCCCTAATGGGTGCGGCGCGCCACAATCTGACCAGCCGATCCCTCCCAAGTCTGCATTGACGGCAAAGGAGTCTACTGAGCACGAGAAGAGTGAGGAGGATCCTTTCTCGGCCTCATTTACTGCGGCGCTGGCCTCTGAGGCCCCAGCGCGGCCTTCGGTTATCAACAGGCCGGATGGACGATCCCAGTCTTCAGACAGGGCACAGTCGGTGTCCTCCCACACGCCCAGTCGACGTGCTGTGTCTTTCCTGGATGACACGTTGCAGAGGCCTGTGTCACCCGATGATGACCCCGAAGATGCTTACCAAACTGGAAAACAAGTTGGTCGACGAAGCTCTTCGCAGGGTGCCGTGCGCAGGAGTTCTCCTAAGCCCCAGTATTTTTTGTCGCCTTGCCCTCGGTCAGTTGCTGTGGCAGGATATCAGGACTGGCATACCGTGAAGGGAATCCCTCACTTGGATATCTGTCCATCCTGCATGAAACAGATGCGCAAGTCCCGGTTCCGAGATCTTTTTGTCCTAGCGAGCCCCCGACCTCGCGACGAGAAGGTTCGCTGTTCCATGAGTGAGCCATGGACGCGCTTGGCATGGATGCAGACACTCAAGAAACATCTGGACCACCTGGATCTGCTCCTGCAGATCACGCGGCCACCGTCAGGCAGCAAGCTTTGCCCGGGACGCACTATCAGTGATCAGTACTGGTACCGTGTTGTGGACCCGGACACCGACATGTATCTTCCACAGTTCAACGTATGCCACTCCTGCGTTCGCAACCTGAGGACTCTGATGCCGCGACACCGGGAGACATTCAAACGTAGTGCCACCAAGCAGGAGAGGGCGTGTGACTTTGTGACCGACAGTGCTCGGTTCGTCCGCTATATCGATTGCCTGGATATGGCCGCCAACCGAGCCGAGCTGGAGCATGCGGTGCGTCCGGACATCCGCGAGTTCCTGTCCTATGCCCGGCGCAAGGTAGTGCTACGAGACTGCCGGCGGGACCGGCAGGTTCTCAGCACCTGGCACTACATGCCGCAGCTGCCTGAGCTCACGGTGTGCGAGGACTGCTACGACGACGTGGTGTGGCCGCTGGTCAAGGCCAAGCTGCCGATTGCGCGCAAGTTCTCGACCACGATGCGGCTTCTTCCCGGGGAAGGCCCGTCGCGGTGTCGCGAGGCGAGCTGCCAGCTTTACTCGCCGCGGATGCGGATGAAGTTCCAGGAGGCGGTGCAGCTGGACGACCTGACGTATCTGAAGCTGGTGGCGCTGCGACGTCGGGAGGCCGAGCAGCGGTACCGAGATCGCCAAGCCGAGCTGCTGGAGGATGCCAGTCGGGGGTACGAGGTTGAGAGTGAGATGCGGAAGAACGTGGAGGAGTGGAAGCGATGGGAGTAGCCGGATGACGGGGGGGGGTGTTGTATCTTTACTGTTATATTGTTTGTGCTTCAGGACCAGCCTGTACGGTAGACTTAGACTATATACATGTATCACCTCTGTGCAATAGTGCAACCGCAAAACCGTGCCACAAGAAAGCAGCCCCGTAGTGAGCCACCCCCTAGGCACTAATCTGCTTCGGCAGTTGACTCTGCTCCCCCAACTCTACCAACTCACTCAGCGTCACCACACGGAACCCCCTCCTCTTCAACTCCGGCAACACCTGCTTCAGCATCGGCACCGTCCACCCCCTCCGATCATGACAGACAATCACACTGCCCGACCGCACCATACTGAGAATATGCCACGCATTGACCCGGGGCCAATTGATCTGCGCATCATGCGGATACACACTGCCCAGCGCAATCCTCAACCCCAGCCTCTGGATGAGCACACGCATCCGATCCGAGAAGAACCCGGACCCCGGCCGGAACCATTTATATTTATACTTGGCCGTCGCCATGCCCGTCGCCCCGCTGCCTTGGGCCCCCCCTTCCCCTCCCCCCGGCTCCCCTGAAGCAGAAGAAACCTGATCCTCCACCCGTTCCAACCACCCCTGCACCCCCCTGACCTCCGCCTCAAGCACCGCATCACTTAATTCCCGGGACGGCCGATCCGACATGGCATGATTCCCCAGCTCCATGCCCGCGCCGACCAGCTCGCGTAACATCGCCTCCCCATTCCCCCCGCGCGGCCCAATCCCCGGAGCGGGTATCTGCGCCCCGATCACGAAGAACGTCGCGCGCGCATCATGCGCTTTCAGAATCTCGAGGATCTGCGGTGTAAACGTCGACGGCGCATCGTCGATCGTCAGCGCGATCGTCGGCGGTAGCGAGGCAGGTAACGGCACGTGGAACGTGGTGTCGGGCCAGCGGTGCTGGAAGTACCGGATCAACAGGTTCGGGGGCCGGTAGATGGTGTATGCGGGGAGTATGATGAGGCCGCTGATGAGGAGGAGGAGGGTGAGCAGGGCCATCTTGAGGACGCGCCGCGTGAGCAGGTGTGTTCGGTGCGGGGTGGGGTGGAAGTCTTTGTCTTTGTAGTTGGTGGAGGTGTAGGGGTAGATTGGCGGGCGGGAGAGGGCGCGCGAGCGGGCGCGCGTGCGGGTGCGGGTGCGGAGGGGGAGGGGGAGGAGGGTTGTGACCGGTTGGGGGAGGGTGGACAGGAGGCGGGTGAGGAGGCGGGTTAGGTGGTGTGTTAGGTGGAGGCGGGGCATCTCTTTGTCTCTGGGGTTGTTGTGGTGGTGGTCGTGGTGGTCGTGGTTTGGGGGTTAAGGAGTGGGTTGGTGGTTGGTTGGTGGATGGGTGGTCGTGGTGGTGGGTGTTGGGCGTTGGGTGTTGGCGAAATGAGAGACGGCTGGTGCAGCTGGAATGGAAGATTCTAGGCCATTGTCTTGGTGGTTGGGCTGGTTCTAGCAGGTAAAGAGTGTGGGTTGTGAGGGTTGTTGGCTGTTGATGAGAAAGAAGGGAAAGTCTAGACAGGAGGAGGTGAAGTGGAAGTCAGGTGCAATCATTGTTATCGTACTTATCAATCCACACTAACCGCTTTCATGCACTGCAACTAAACTAACTAACCCACCAACCCGACCACCTCGCCCGGCCATTTCTTCCCCCACACCAACGCCCGCGGCGGCACTCTCCCCCCCACCGGCGCCAACACCTGGATCTTCCCCCTCTCGTTGTTCACATCCGCCACATACAGGAACCCCATGATACTCGCATCCCGCACATCCGCCACACTGGCCGTCGTCGGCGCGTGCGTGATCGCCAGCAGCGAATTGGCCAGCCCCGTGGGCGCCGGCGGGAGCAGCTTCTTCAGCGGCACATTTGCGCCGCTGCCCGTCTCCGCCGTGGCACTCGACGGAGCACCCCCGAACCCGGGCAGAACAGATATTGCACCACTGTCCTCCTGCTTCTGCTGATTCTGGCTCGAGTCCGCCTCATTGCCTCCTCCAGGGAGGAACGAATCGGTGCCAAATGACGCCGGGTCATATTCATCCTCATCCTCCTCCGGGGTAGCGACGGTGTAATTGTATATCGACAGGGCGTTCAGATCCAGCTGCTGCGCGTGCGGCGACAAAGTCACATTCTTGGACGAAGCGGCCAACAGCGGCAGCGCCCCCGACGCGGCGGACGGGATCTGGTCGCCGAAGAAGTAGGTGCGGATCTGCGACTCGCGGACGGCCTTCATAAACGCTGCGTCGCGATCCACACATCCCCCAGACTTGGACAGCTTGATCACGGAGATGCGCTCATCCGACGCCACGGCGGACGCACTAGCGGTAGGCTTGTTATCAAACTCCTTCATCATCGAGCTGTAGAGTCGTTCGGAGCCGATCACCAGAATCGTCGTAACTGTATCACGCCCCCATCACATCAGTAAATATCCCTAGAAATCTCCACGGCAATAAATCAAACTCACTAGCAAACTCCGTCACAATATGCTTAATCAAATCCACATTCCCGACCTTACTCTGACTGAGAATCCCCGGCGTGTCCACAATGATCCCCGTCTCCCGGACATCCTCATCCTCAGCCATGCGGCCCATGACCGAGACCGCCAGCCGCGACACGATCGCCTTGTACACGGACCCCTCGGCCTCGAGCGGGCTCGCCATCGGGTAGAAGTACACCAGTGGGACCTTGACGGGCACCGCACTAGGGCCGGACATGGGGCTGGACCCCCAGCCCTCCTCGACATCGATCATCGTGCGGAACGCGGTGGCCGTCAGCGTCCCCGGCACGCTCAGCATCCCCTCCGTGGGGTCGAGGTTGACGACCACCGGCTGGCGCCCAACCTTGGTGGCGTACGCCGTCAGGATCTTCGCCAGACTCGTCTTGCCCGCGTCCTCGGAGCCCAGGAGCAGCACCCGCGGCCCGTCCCTGCCCTGCGCCTTGGCCTGCCGCCGCATCGTCTCCAGCGCAAAGTGCACGTTCGCGTATTCCACCATCGGCGTCTCCTCCGCCGTGTACTCGCTCTGGCAGCCGCCCGCGCCCAGGCCGCGCCCGCCCGTCGTGGGTGTTTCGTTACTGTTGCTGCTACCGTTGCCGCCAGGCGCGAGGCTGTCCGGGGTCGCGTAGGACTCGCCGGCGCTGACCTCGAGCATACATCCGTGCCATGTGTAGATCGCGGCTTTCGTGCCGGTGAAGGTGTACGTCTGGGAGGGGGCGAGTTCCGTGCCAAAGAGTTCGGCGGTGCCGGTGAGGAGCTAGTTCTCGAGGTCAGTCAGTCAGTTGCTGGAGGTCAATTGAGAACCCAACAAAAAATCGATCGAGCATGAGAGCTGTAGGCTGGGTCTGGGAGGTTGTGCTCACTTTGACGCGCACGACGGTGCCGAACGCTACCTCAAACCGCCATTCTGAACCTTTGCCGACGGTGATTTGCGTCGGCGGTGCGGGGACAAACTCCTTCTCCCCTGAGGGCTGTGTCAGGTCTAATCCCGGGAGAGACATGGCATTACTGTGCTGAGGAGATTAGTGAGCGTAGAGATGGGTGTGAAACTTTCGTAGATTTTATAACACAGTAAGAAAGAAGTCTGAAAGGAAGAACAAAGAATGGAAGAAAGAAAGTCACTTCGGAGACGTCAGGCGGAGAGAACCACCCGCCGATAACGATGTTTTGCTGGTTTGCAGCGGAGTCCAGCTCTAGCCCCCTCCCTCGAACAACGGCCAATTTACAATCTGCAGAAAACAGAAAACATCGCTACTTATCAACATTCAAATTCCTGCATGTAGCGTCGTCTGCCAAATATACCCTAACAATAGCACAACGCCCGAGTACAGTCCAGTCAAAGCCATCTGATTGCATCACGACACCAGGGGTCATTCCCGGCGCAAATGGTGTAGAAACGAAAAAAAGAAAAACCACATTATTGGGGCATATATCAGGTATCCAGGAAGAAGAGGGACAATGAAAAGGTGCAGGTAAAGAACGAAACGAACCCAAGGCTTTCTCTCTGATCTCCAGGACCTATGCAGACCAACCTTCCCCGCCTCAACGCACATCACTCGCAACCAAAAGGCACAGCATTAGTAATAAAATAGACTGGTTCAAGTACGGTACACGTCCAGATGACCATTGTTGAGAGGAAGTATCGTGATGGGCAAGGGGGTAATCGACCAAAGCCCGAACTCGGATTTGATCGAGGGTAGCAAAAATGCACGGAAAGAATCTTCTCGCAACCTTGTATGGCAAAAGTCGTCTGGGACCATGGCAGTTGTGAACATACGGTCAGGGAGGCTGTGGCACCTGTGATCATGGCTGATAAAGGTGTCGGTTACTACGGATGCGCGCGCAGGTTGACATCACGAACGATCTCGTGCATCTTGGCTCCACTCGCGATGAGAAATGTATTAAATTCTTTAGATGAAGAAGTAAGGAATTGAGGCGCTGGATAGTTCAGTCAGTAAGATGCGATGAAAGACCGGGGTTTGTAGAGGGGTACTAACGCAAGAGCAAAGGCAGCTGTAACACCAACAAGAGCACGATTCCGGACGCGCTCCTGCTTGAGCTTCTCTTCCAGGACCTTGGCGCGCTTTGTCCGGAGAGTGCGGGCTTCCTCATCTTCCTCATCCTCGTCCTCGCTGAGAGCGTCAGTCTTGCGTTTCACGGCCGCCTTAGCTGACGATGGCTCGGCGGTCTCTGCCTGGAGCTTGACAGCTTCTTCCACCATTTCCTTGGCCTTGGCGATCATCTGCTCGGTATCAGCTGCAGAGGGTGCTTCAGGAAGAGTAACTGGCAGCTCCACGGAGACGGTCGTCTGGGTAGTCTTGACATCATCGACGGTGTTGGCGGTGGTCTCAACGTCAACCTTGACCTTCTGTTCCTTCTCCTCCTCTTTGTGCTCCTCTTTGTGCTCCTCTTTTTGCTCCTCTTTCTGCTCTTCCTCGATATCGCCCTCAGGAATGATCCGACGTGCAATCTTGGACGGTTTGGGCGTCTTCAACTTCCGAGGAGTGGGAGCCGGCTTCTGGTCGCTATCGACTTCCACGCTGGGCTGGATGGCTCTGATCACCGACTCGCTTTCCACGGTCGAAGCAGTCAAGTCGAGAGAAGACTGTAGGGTAGCATTTGCAGCGCTGGTGGCGGCAGCATTCGCCTCCTTCATGGCTCGAGTTTGTCTGGGCTTTCTGGGGGAACTAGGTCTCTTGCTGGGGGAAGCCGAGCGTCCTCGTCTGAGACGGGTCGTGGAAGTGAGGAGAGTCGGGGCCTCGATAGGAGGCAGGTCGAACCTGGGAGGGGGCGTGATTTGTTTCTTTGCAGAGGAAGGGCTCTGGATAATCTCGGTGGGGTCAAGCAAGGCTCGGACCCAATCGTACATCTGATACTCCTTGGCGAGCTCAAGGGCTGAGGACCGGTATCAGAGCGGTAGGCCAGGGAATGTCAGGTGGTTCGAAGAACTTACCAAGTACAGGAGAGATCCAGACGTTGCCGGCAATCTCGTCTTCACTCGTTTCAGACCGTGCTTTCAAGTACTCCCGCTCGGATCGTTCTTCGTCAAGCTTAGCCCAAGGGAAAGCGATCTTGAACATGCCAGTGGCGCTAACGTATCCATCTCTGCTACGACGCTGGAAGGGACAAAGGAATCCACCCCGTTAACCATGGTTCCGTGACGTTCCGCGATTCCGAAAAGCTAAGGGCCTGGAAGGACGCGACTTACCATCAAGAAGTACGTCTCCGGGTGTTGTTGAGGAGCATGTGAGGGGAAGATTTCAGATCCTTTGAGATCACTGGGCAGGGGAGCGCGCAAGTGGGCATATTCAAAAGGGCCGAGGTTCTCTGGTTTGGTCGCATTGGAGGTGCCGATCTGGGTGGGCTTCACGGCAAGATTGGTCTTTCCCAAGCGACGGCGCGCAAGAAGTTCTTCATCTGTCATCGCACAAGCACGAAGCAAGGTGCGTGTTAGTCTGGCGCGACCTCAGATCGGAGTGGAGGATATATAGCAATGGTCGAGATTGGAATCGACGCTGCTGATGCAGAGGCACAACTTACAAGCAGGCGCTTCATCGCTGAGGATGAGCGGGTTGTTCTTTCTCGGCAAGGTGCGCACCATGATGAACGAACTGGGCTGGGCGGGAGGTATCAATTTAAAGACTCGAAAAGACTCGGGCGAAGGACGGTGGTGGGTAGTTTGATGAATGGGGGATGCGACACCAAAGCGGCGGCCACGTTGCAGGCGCGTTTGTCGCCGCTCTTTTTGTCTACAAACCGCGAGCAGAGAAGACGTCACCAAGACGAAAGCGCACAGGTGACAAACAGGACGGTTTTGAACCGGGCGGACAGTGGACGGGGTGTGAAGCTTGAAAGGAATACGCGACAAGCCAAGTGATAAAGGCAGGAATGGGGTGGGAGGAGTCCAGGCGGCGCTCGGTCGATAAGCAGTAGCAGCAGCAGCAGTAACAACAGCAGCAGCAGTCGCTAAAAGGTTAGGTTTCTCTGGACTCGGGAGTAGGGGAGGGAAAATAATCAAAGAATGAAAGTCGAGCGAAACGGGACGGGCGAATCGCTTCCCACCATTGCATGTTCTGCTGGTTACGTGACGGTTCCGCCCGGCTAATATTACGGCGCTACTGCAGCACTACCGTTTAATTAACCAGTCATCCATGCCAATCCTCCGATTCTCTAACCTGAAAAGTAAGTACCAGCGCCGCCGGCTTATCCCCCGGTATCAAAAATTACATGATTACGCTCACCATGTATTGATGCCTTGACGCCTGAGCTAGCGCGGTTGTCCCCGTGACGCGCTTCTTCTGTTTTGGTTTGTTGGGCCTCACCTTAGTTTGGCGCGGGGGTTTTCGACTCGTCATCGAGCTACTAGATACATAATGGGTGATTGTTTTGCTCAGGGCTCATAACACATTCAGATATATACAGCTCTCGCTTTTTTCTTAAAGAAAAAAAGAAAATAAAGTAAAGTAAAACACACAAAAAAACAAACAAAAAAAAAACTTTAGATAGCGAAATCCCTTGCCAGAAGCCCGGACAAGGGGATATGCATGAAGACATGCACCGAGTCAGGGCTGACACTTCGCTGACTTCCCTACAGTGTGGGGGAGTTGAAATACTCCATATGTTCGCTGTGTACTTTTTTGAACGAGATGCATTCTTGTCAGTCGAAGCAGATTCAACCAGCCCAGGATCCATGCGCACCCTAAATCATATTCGTATGGCTGATCTACTTGCCTCTCTTCGGAAACTTGGACTCTCTTCCTGAAATATCTTTCTTGCATTCGCAATGTGCTCACCGCTTCATCCGATATCAGCCTTTGGTCCACTCTTCCAGAACAATGCCGCATTCGGACTTAAAACTCGCAGACCTCTCGGGAAACCATGGAACCTCGGCAACGGGGCTGTCAAAACACTGAAACTTGGATAGGTATATCCTCAGGGTAGAAAAGGCTCGACTTTCTCTGAGTTAACTAATGGCCCTCGGGCTTGGATCGACTCTGTGAAGAGGGCTTGGGGAGAGGATGTGCAGTTCTCTGGGCTCCAAATTTTACTTCCGATGTGGTGTCGAATTATCCATATGTCAATTGCTGCATATCTTTTCAAAGCTGGGTTGAATTTGAATTCTTCCTTATATCAATGTGAGCATGAAATCTGAGATTTTATAGTGCTGTATGCTTCGTATGGAGTCATGTCTTTGAAGAGTATCTTCGTTTGAAGTGAAATACCTCCAATAGCCTGCACAGTGTGTAGCACTTATGGAGAGCACCTTCGCGCCTGGCAATCGCGATCTTGAAAACGGTCCTTCTGGCCTCTAGCATGGCGTATAATAACGGCCCTAGTGGCATGGACTCATATACTTCAGTATGCAGTGTTACTATATACTAACCCCACACTGTAGAGCTGCTCAGTGAGCAGAAACACATAAAGCGGATAAGTATAACAGCACCCCCTTGTCCAAGCTTGGTTGCTGGACTTCGACAGGGGGTTCCATAGTGCGAGTAATGTTTGGCTGGGAATGTCTCATCTGGACTCCTGGAACCTGGACTAAGACCGGGCAACCCTCATGTTGATGGCCTTTTAGCAAGAAAGAGGACTGATCGATCACCTTCGCGGTACAGTGTAGGAAACAGCCACCTTGTCAAGCAGTAACCTTCTCTTGTGTGAAGTCGACTATTGCGTGGCCATCAATGACATGACCTGGAATCAATTCATCACAAGTACAGTGCAGTACAGTACATACTGCCAGTGCTGATGATGAGTCTATGAGTCTGGCCCATCCGAAAACAATTCCTCCTTCCCCCTCCTGTAAGGCCATCCATTAATAGCCATGATTGTCCACCGCCTTTTCCTCCCCCCCACTTGGCCTTTAGTAGTTCAATTGGTCTTCCACTCCAAAACATCCCCAAACAATTCTCTCCTTCAGCAATTCCTGGCCTCATTTTAATCTCGGTGAGTGACCCTACTTGAAATCTCTTCGATCCCCCGTCTTGCACTGGTCTTTTAGCTAATTAAGAAAATCGCCCTCCGTGAGGCGAACTTCTCCCCCAGCAATTTAGCTCTGGACACCTTCTCCCATCCGCTATCCAAATACCCCACCAGAGCCACCAAAACAACCAAAGCAACAAAACTATCACCACCACCACCATGCCTGAACACGAAGACGATCTCACTGCCACCAAGACCGAGGGTTTCAAGGTCGGTGAGAAGAAGACCATCGACGAATATGCCCAGCTTGGTATGTGTGATCATTGTTCTTGATGTGTCCCTCTTCTTCCTCCCCCTTTTGCTGTCACAAGCATTCCGCCCCCTCCTCTTCTTTCTATCTCTGCCTCGTGGCCATTGACGCCGGCTTTCCCCTCCCCCTTGCTTATTTACCACATGCAAAAGACAAACTCAGCCGCATCGCGACTACTATAAGCTTCTCCACAATCTTAAAATCATCAATGGTCTCTATTCGTTACTAACCGTCCCCTCTCTTTACTATAGATAAGGATGACGAGGCCTTGAACAGGTGGAAGGCCTCGCTCGGCCTCAACTCCGGCACCCCGATCGGCGACCCCAGTGATCCCCGCAAGTGCATCATCAAGTCCCTGGCCCTGGAGGTTGAGGGCCGTTCCGACGTGGTGATCGACCTGTCCGCCCCCGGCGCGCTGGAAGGGCTCAAGGACCAGCCTTTCAAGATCAAGGAGGGCTCCACTTTCCACATCAAGGTCGTCTTCCAGGTGCACCACGAGGTGCTCAGCGGCCTCAAGTACCTGCAGGTCGTCAAGCGCAAGGGTGTCCGGGTCAGCAAGGACGAGGAGATGCTGGTAAGTTTCCCTCCTCCCCCTCATACTCCAGTTATTCGTCTCCTAACAACCGGTCACAGGGAAGCTACGCCCCTAACACCACCGACAAGCAGGTCTACGAGAAGAAGTGTAAGTTGAGCCCAGCCAGCGGATCCCCTCCCCATTTTATCGCAACCAACTGACCATCCTCGTTTCCCTCCTCGAAACAGTCGCCGCCGAAGAAGCCCCCTCGGGATTGCTGTACCGTGGCCACTACAACGCCATCTCCAAGTTCATCGACGACGACGACCACACTCACCTCCAGTTCGAGTGGTCCTTTGACATCGCCAAGGACTGGTAGATCATTTTCTTCTTGTTTTCCTTTCTCTTGTCTGTGTCCATTTTTTCCCCCTTTTCCTATGAAACCACGATCAAGATCCACCCCCATCTTTTGTTTTATGCCATGGGGAGGCAGCATAACTATTTCTTGCCAGTATTTACAAGCGTTGGGACGCATTTATTCACACATCATCTGAGTGAAATCTACTCGATTTTCCTATTTATACTCTACTTTTCTGCTAAACCTCTCTTGTCTGTCTGATGCGAGGTTCCTGGGAGATTGGGATTAGTGGACTATACTATACTATATACTATATATACATGAGCTACATTATGAACCTTGGTAAGAATGTGGAAATCCTATGGCCCCGGTCTCCGTCTCGCCCCATTTACCTCATTGGACACACACCTGACCTGGCTATCAGCATGGTGAAAAGAGTGTTGAGGATGGCGAGTAGGTTTAAAGTAGTTGAAGAAATACGAACCACGTCATTTGTAGTATATAGCAGTATATTTCAGTTTTAGCCTGGTCTCCCAACTGCTTCTATAATTGTTCGCAACCAGCTCGCAAACCCTCACTCACCTTTGAAGCCCTCTTTTTCGAACACTATCAACTCGTCTAATATGTATTGACATTTCTCTCTTACATGACAACACATGACAGCAGTCTATAAATGCTTGAATATTTACCCAACACCCCATCCCTAGGAGATCATAAATCCACAGAAAGAAAATAAAGGAGGGGGGGACAACCCAGAAGAAGTATAAGCTAGAATAAGAAAGTTGGAAAAAATATGTTCCTAAACTAGACAGAACCACCGCACTCCACCACAAAATACACGAGAAAATAAAATGGGTATCACAGAAAGTAATCAATCACGGGGCTCTGGCCGTCCTTATTCTGCTGCGCCTGCTGCTCGCCGCGATGGATATCGTTCTCGGGCGCGGCGTCGAAAATGTTGAAGTAGCGCTCGCCGGTGTCGCTGACCTCGAGCACGCTGGCCAGGTTGCCGCAGCGGTAGCAGTAGTTGGGGGCGCTCCAGACGGTGCTCAGGCGGTCGTCGTAGAGGACCTGGTAGCCCTCCTGGCAGAGCTGGTGGGCGCGCAGGATGTGCGACATGCTGTTGACCTCGAGGAACTTGCGCACGACCTGGGCGCCGAAGGTGTAGCCGGCGCCGCGCGGGGAGAGGGAGAACTCGTCGCGCTCGGTGTCCGGGTCGGACCAGACAAGGTCGGCCATGGGCCCCTCGTGGGGGATCTCGCGGAAGCGGTCGATGATCTTGATCTGGTCGATGGAGTGGATCGACGGCGACAGCCCGCCGTGCACGCAGAAGATCTGGTCGTTGATCACCACGCTCAGCGTCAGGAAGTCGAACATGTCCGTGAAGTAGTGCCACACGTTGGCGTTGCCGTACTTGCGCGCGCACTCCGTGTAGAATCCGTAGGACTGCGTCACGCCCCGCGACTCGTGGTTGCCCCGGATCAGGTGCACGCGCTGCGGGTACCGCAGCTTCAGGCACACCAGGAGCGAGATCGTTTCCACGCTGAAGAGGCCACGATCGACGTAGTCGCCTGGAAACAGAGAGGGGCGAGATCAGCTTCTTGTTTGAGATACTCCAAACGTCCACCACCACACTACAGCAAATCCCTCTCTTTACGCCGGCCCGTCATCATCCCCTAGCCCCTTCATCTTCTTTCATCCCCAACGAGCTCCCCGCGGGGGAAAATAAAAGGAAAACCAACCTAAGAACAAATAATTCGTATTCGGACAGAACCCACCGATCTTGAAGATCTCAATCATATCAAAGAACTGTCCGTGGATGTCTCCGACGACCGTCACCGGAGCCGCAATATGCACGACATTGCTCTCCTTCATCAACAACTCCTTAGCCTTGGCGCATATTGCCTCGATAACGGAGTCTGCTAGCAACTCTTTGCGATAGAGTCTCTCGATGCACTCATCCAGATCGATACTCGCTACAAGCACATAAATAAAAGATGAGTATGATATTCAGCTGGTGGGGGGAAGAAGAAAGGCGAAATTGCCTCGGCACGGAGGGTGTGTGGCGGCGTAGCGCAAGAAGCGCAGCGGGAAAGACTTACCCGGTAAACCAGGCATTTTTTGGAGCAGGAGGCGACCTGAGTAGGTCGGGTTCCCGTTTGTGATGGGGGCTTTTCTCTTTTGTCTATCTGATTATACAGCCAAGGTAAGGGGAGGCCGAGGTCTTTTGGTGTGAGAATGTAAAGTGGTTAGGGAGGGAGGGCTGAGAGCGGATGTGGTCGTTTCGCGTCCGTCTCTCGAAGATTAGGTGTGGATGGACGGTCTGTTCGGGCGGCCGGTTCTCAGTGACGGATACAGAAGGAAAGACGCATAGACTGAGATGTAGGTAGGTCGATCGAAGAAGGGATGTGTTGATTTCGGAGGGAGGTTCCTGCAGTAGCTCGCATTGTGGCCGACAGCTGAGTCCACTGGGAGAGCAGCAGGGGGACGGAGCGCGCGCGGGTCACAACTTGGGGAGCGACTCGGCGCCTTGGAGGCGGGTAGGAGGTTAAAATGGCAGGGATGTTCGATCAGCTCACTCACAGCTGGCTTCAGCCATGGTCAGACGAATCCCAGGAAGTTGAAAGCGAATGGTCCGATGTTTAATGCGTGATCTCTCGAGACCGTCTCAGCCTCGCTGTGAGGGAGAGGATTCACGCCTTCCGTCGTTCTGCCGCAGGGCACCGCCTGATTTATTATCGTTTGTATTTCCGCCAGTTGACCAACATACAGCGCGCAAGATTGGTTTGTTTGGCTATCGCAATTATGTTATGCTTCATGGGACAAGAGGGAAAACGAACGTCAGATTGGAAAGCAACGTTTGAATGGTATCTACTTATTCACATGAAGTAAGCTCTATCACTACACGAGAAAGTCAAACGGCCATCACCGTTTCAAGAGTCCTGTCGCCTGTGCCCGGTCTTCGGAGTCGGTCTCGTCCTCTTCCTCTTCAGATTCGTCTTCTTCAGTCTCTTCTTCCTCCGTCTCCTCCTCATCGGTCTCATACTCAGAGTCAGTTACCTCTTCTTCCGACTCCATCTCTTCCTCGCTCTCAGACTCCGGTTCCTCTAGCCACTCATCCAGCGTCTTGCCCTTCGACGAAGATGCCCCTCCTGGACGACCGGGCTGTGCCTTGGAAGATGAGACATTCTGCTGATGCTCTTTGAGGGCCTGGTCAAGCCGCTCGCCCGCCGTCATCGATGCCCGTCCTGTGGGATCTGGCTTGACCTCTGATTCACGAAGGCGCGGGTCGGGCTCTTGCCCGGCTCCGACCCAGTCAGGAAGATTCTCATAACCCTTGAGTCCGAGCATGCCCGCGTCTGGCCCGATTACAAGGGTCGAGGAGCCTATCAAGAGATCCTTGCGCGTCTCAGATGGGCTGGGTGCATGGGGAACAGGTTTGGGTGCGAGAAGAACTAGATTGGCCAACTGCGTCATGGAAGGAGACGCAAGGAGAGCCTTGTAAAGTCGTGCTCGGTCGCGAAGATCGTAGGAGGAGTCGTATCTGGCCAGAAGAAGAATGTACCGCCAAAGCAAGGCTATCTGGTCCTCCTCGGGCTCACTCTTGTGCTCTTCCTGGCCATTGGTTTCGGGCTCTTGCTCATTCGGAGTGTCGGCCCATTCATTGACGATTGCCTCCTCCGTTTGAACTGGTGGTTGCGTTTGTGGCTCTGGCTCCTCCTTTGGCGGGTTCCGTAGCAAATGATGTAGATAAACCTTTGCACCGAGAAGGACAATCTGCTGCTTCACGGCCTCGGCCTCGTTAGCAAAATCCTGTACCAGGATTCGCAGGACATCGGGAGCAATGTTTCGTTCGGGTTCGGCACCGGCAAATTCTCCGACAAGCCACACAATCGTAGCTCTTGCATCGGGATTGCTTGTCAGTCCTAGATGCTTTACAAGCTGAATGACCGTCTTTTCGTGCGAAGGGGGGTCTTGCTGGATGAGATGACGAATGACGGTCAGCGACTCCGCTACCAGATTATCGTCCTGGCTCGTAATCTGGCTGAGCAGGACTCGCAGGCAGTGATTCGCAGCGCTGGTATCAGCTTGCGCACAACGTCCTATCGCGCGTACACTTTCTCGGACCATCTCCGGGTTTGTGCTTTGCGAGAAATGCTGGAGCTCGCTCAAAATCACATTCTTTAGATGCTGCCCACAGTAGGGGAATATAATTGTGAGCACTTCGAGCTTGAGACGCCATATGTGAGGCGGGTCGATGGCATGAACCAAGAAATGCGTGGCATACTTCGTGAATGGCTTGGGATGTCTCAAAGCCACGACCACGATGTTGTAGAGCGCAACATGCTGCACATCTTGGGGGCTTCGGAGCAGAGCGATGAGTGGACCCACAGCAGCTTCAAGGTACTCGGGCGTACCGAGATGAAGGAAACAGCGGACAATACTAACGATCACCGCTGAGTTACGATTCTGCAACAGCAACAGACAAGCACGCAGGAAGAGCTCCAAGTCCGGATCCAAGACCGGTACCTCGTCCAGATCGGCCTCATTGCCCTCAGTCACATCATCACCATTTTCTTCATCTTCGTAGAACCCTTCGGTTTCTGTCGCGCGCTTAACTTTCTTGGTCTTGCGAGGAAAGCATTGTCGGGCGTAGAAAGTTAGAAGACGCAGCGTTGCAAGCTGGCTCCACTCATCCATGTCAACCAGCTTCTTGACAAGGGTCCGGTAGTGCTTGTGGATCAGGTCAATCCGGTCGGGGCAAACCTCCAGGAACGCGGCCACAGCGGGCCCCAGAACAAAGTACTGGGTGTCACCGAGCAATGTCGTGATATAACCAACCAGCTGCGGTAGGGAGTTCGGATCCAGGCGATAACACTTCGGGATGGCCAGTGCCGCGGCCTTGCGCACATGCGGGCTCATATCCCCGCATCCCCTCTTGATAGCAAGGGATACAATCTGGCTGATGACCGGGACTCTGATCCCAGCCATTGTACGAAGTGCCATGGCGCGCGCATGCGGATTCTGGTCTGTAAGCGACTTCTGAATGGCGTTGATGGACAGCAGCGCAAGGTCCGGTTCCGTCTCCGCATGGTGGACCAGGTAGATATAGACCAGCTTCTTAACCTCGAAGTTGGCGCTTGCTACATTTTTGACAACTGCGGAGAAAAAAGGCAGTGACGGCTCGGCTCGGTACATCAACTGGAGTGCTCACGAAGGACAAGGTTAGTTATTTGTTTCTGTGATTGCGGCTGGTAGGGAGGGTCGGTCCGTACTGTGATCACCCGTCGCATGCCATCGAGGACTTCGCGGTCACTCCGACTATCCAGTAATTTCTTGATATGCGAGGCCGTCAGGTTGCGGGGAGATACTCCCACGCCGGAGCCTCTATTCAAAGCTGCGGACTGCGCTGCTTCGAGGGTGAGCTCGCGGGCTGTTGACACAACATTCCGATCAGTCAATCAGTCTACTTAGGCAGCGAGGACAATTGGAGGAAAGACACTCGGGCGGACAGTACCTGTTTCCAGCATGGAAGAGATCCGTGAAATGGTCTCCATTTTTGCCTCCGAAGCCCGTCACGGAAAGGCGAATATAGACGAGACTTTGGAGGGGGAAATGCTCCTTGACGCAGAGCTAGAGAGAAGTTGGGTGCTCGGCGATTCTCTGGCGGGCAGCCGAAATGACGATCTGAGGTAACGTGCTTGGGTAAGTTAAGTAACTTAGCTAGTTATCGATTGGGTGGATCCACCCTTCAAGCTTTCCCGCGCACGTACAGTAAGTACAATACCCCGTACCTCATTCCGGTCTTCATCCTCCTCATTAACGTCCCAGCTTGACATCTATCGGTATCTGACTCGCCGATTGCAACAGTGGTATGGCCGCGAAAACAGCCTCTTCAACTCTAATGTGCTAGGAAAGCGGAAGAAAAAAGCCCTCGTCCAAGTGGCTGCACTTGCAGAGCAGTCAACCCAGCCATGGGCTCGACCAGAAAAATGTATTCTACCGGCTCTACTCCCGAGTTCCTACAAACAATTTTACAACATGACTCTTTCTCAACAACCCTGATTGTATGCTCGACCAGGGATCAATTTCTGAGCCGATTGCTCGCTGCTACTCATCCAACCAGGGGAGAAGTCGCTAGGCACCATCACATCTACGATAAAACCATAGGACTGCTGTCTAGATCCACCCGGGTTAGAGTACTATTCTGCCCAACCCTGGAGAATCTGCGCGCGTGTTTGTCTGTAGTAGGGTCTCAACGGGTCCATCATCAGGATAAGAAGGAAATACACGGGCAGACTGAAGCACGGCCTCTATTAGCAGTCCTTGACTCTTTATCCCTCCATGCCCCAACCACGGAATTTTCCGCGCAGGGCCTGTCCAGAACCTTTGCAGCTCTGGCAGAAACCTCCTTCAAAGCAGATATGGACCTTGTGCTCTGCGAATGTCAAGACCTAACGAACCCGGAAGTCTCACTGTGGAATGCACAGGTGCCCATGCTGAATAGTACTGTGCGTGTCTCAGAGGAGAACGCCCTCTTTCGACGAACTGTAACCGTGAAACGAGTGGCAGAACGCTGGTTCGAGTTCATTGAGAAAGACTATGCCGGTGCAGGCATCATGGATGATGCACAGGGTAATGCTCAAACACATACTGAGATAGATGAGGACAGAGATATTCAATAATACTCAGTAATGGAAGACTCCCACAATGCAATACTTAAATCATACGGGTATCCTAGAACCAATTCATAAACTCCCGAAATCGCGCCCCTGACAGAATTGCCTCAGATCATAAACATTTCTCCATATCGGTGATGTAAAGTTTGATATGCGACTCCAGCTTCAGGTATTCATCATGAGCGCCTTGGATCTCGCTCTCAATGTTCTCTTTGAGATCGGCCATCTAGATATTGGTTAGTTAAGCACGGTGACAATTAGAGGTGAAGACTGACCTTCTTCTCCGTCTGTTCGATGCGGATTCTCCGACGCTCCATGTCGCGTTGCTTGTCTGCTCGCTCTTCGCGAAGTTGTTTTTGGATTTCCCGAAGCTCTTCCATGCGGGCTTGGGCTGCCTCAGCCTTCTCTTGCGCGTTCTTCCGAAGAGCCTCGATTCTCTCGTTCCACCGCGTCAATTGTCGTTGCAGTAGCTTCTCTGTCTGCTCCACTTCCCTCACATTGTTACCTCTCTCCGAAATAGCTTCTTTGTTTCTAGAAGCTCTGGACTCTTCTTCTTCCTCTTTCTGAAGCTCAACAGATATATCCTCCAGGAGCTTCACGCATGCCTGTACATCATTGCTGACAACAGTGAACGTATCAGACGAGGTTTGCAAAGCTCTTGCCCGCTTCTCCATGGCATCAATCTGAGCCTTCTCACGATACAAATTCTCGGACAGTTCAGCCAGGGATGACTGAAGCGAGGCGGGACTGTCCATCACGTAAGGTCGTAGTTTCTCGACTTCCTGTCGGGTGCGCACCACCCTTTCTGTCTTCTCTTCGAGCTGTGTCTGTCGTCTGGCCTTGTCCGCCTTGACACGCTCCAGCGTCTCCGCCACTCGCTCCTGGTTTCGTCTCAACTCGAGGAGCCGTGCTTTCAATTCATCGTTCCTCCGGACTTTCTCCTTGACCTGGGCCTCGTTGGCTTTCAGAGTCCGGCGCATCTCCTCAAGGCGCTGTTCCATCTCCTGATTCTCGCCGTAGAGGGTGTCGATGCGTGCTTTCGTCTTCTCCGCCTTGTTGAAATGCTCGTCGATCACGGGGGTTTGTGACTCGCGGAAGCGCACGAAATTGATGAGATAGGAAAAGATCTTGACGAGACGGTCGTGCGTCGGCTTGGTCAGGTCGGTAAAAGTAAAATCATTGACACCGCACTGGTTGGCAGTCACAACAGTCAGTCAGTAGTCACAACCGGGGGGGGGGGGGGGGGAGCGTGAGATAGGTAAGTTGGCGAAATACCTCCATCATCAACCGCCGCAGACCGGTGAAAAATCCCATCAAGTTGCGTGTATCCGTGGGCACGATATCCGGATAGTCGCCACAAACATCATCTGCCGCCGCGCGCATTGCTGGTTCCACCGTTTCGCGGGTGTTGTTCATCAGGAGTTCCGCAAACCACTCGAAGACCATCTGAATCTGCTGCGGGTTCGGTTTGATCAGGTCAGCGGCAGTGAAGGGTATGCCGATGTCGTTGATACATCCTGCAATCTCTTTATCTGGCTACTGAGAGTGTCAGAGGGCACAAAGTCGCAGACGAGTGCGCATATTTGTGAGATGCACTCACCAGTCGCATCAGAGCATCGTTTTCATCTTCTTTCTTGCGGCCGCCTCTGTTGTGGTGCTGCTGGGAGCCGTGGAACTGTTGGCTCATTCGATGACCGTACGACATGTTGCAGAAAAGCCCTCTCCACGAGGCAACGCCGAGGTTGTTCGTCGGAGAAGATGTGGTGCAAACGTGGTTGTCGTGTTTGGACTGGATGTTATGATTGATTGTTTACAGTGAAGGGCCTCGCATGGCAACCGGAAGCGGACTAGCGCACCAGAGGAGGGGCACTGTATACAAACGATGCAAACTTACTCCACGCTTCCCTTTTTCGATGACTCTGCGGCGAAGCGACCATGGGACAATAATTATTACGGATAATTGCTGCACGACAGCTTCCTACGGACTTTTCGATCCATCAATTCTCCAGAGCTGCTCAACGCATCATCAGTCACCATGGCAGCCGCCACTTCCACCTCGGCGAAACCGTTCGAGTAAGTAGTTAAACCTGACGCCATGGAAAGTCCATGCGGCCTTGGAAGCTGCTAACAGTCGCCAGCATCGTCGCGACGTACAATGAGCTGCTGCGCTCCGATCCAGATTTGACCATGCCAATCGCCGCTATCGAGGCCTTGGTGCTCCTTCTCACACACTCCCCTTCCTCGACGATATCAGAGACGCTCGATCTGCTGGAGAAATCCACCGCACACCTAAAACAGTCGATCCCGAACCCCATTGGCCTCTCCGCTGGAACCGATCTCTTCCAGCGATACCTGATCACTACGCTACAGAGACCCGGTCAGCTTGGACCCGCCGGGGACTTCAACGCTATCAGGGCGCACCTGCTGTCCAACGGCCGACTGTTCATCAGACGTGCGAAGGAAAGCCGAGACAAGATTGCGGCGTTCGGAAGAGGCTTCGTCCGGGACGGAAGCACGGTCTTGACGAACGGTGGCTCCAGAGTCGTGGCCTCGCTGCTGCAGCAGGCTGCTGGTGAGAAGGGCGGCCCGTCCGCCGTTCGATTCCGGGTGATCTACGTGCTGTCCCCGGCCAAGGGCGATGTCGAGGGCTCGTCCGCGGAGCCCGAGGGTATGGAGACGGTCCGCGCGCTGCGTGAGAAGGGCGTTCCGGTTGCCACGATCCCGGAGTCCGCCGTCGCGTACTCGCTTGGCAAGGCCGACGTGGTCATTGTCGGTGCGGAGGGTGTCGTGGAGAACGGCGGAATCGTGTCGAGAATGGGCACCTACCAGATCGGTCTGCTGGCCAAGGCCATGGGCAAGCCTTTCTACGTCGTGGCGGAGAGCCACAAGTTCGTTCGTCTCTACCCGCTTGGACAGTACGATCTGCCCATCGAGCAGCGCGTGATCGACTTCAAGACCGAGGAAGATGTCGCCGACGAAGCCACGCAGCAGCAGCAGCAGCAGCAGCAGCAGCAAGCACAACCCACCCCCAACGTCAAGTCGCCAGATAGCTCGGACGTGGTTGACTACACCCCTCCCCATTTGATATCCGCACTGATCACAGACAGCGGCGTCCTGACGCCAAGTGCGGTGAGTGAGGAGTTGATTAAGATCTGGTTCTAGTTTATGCTTCCCGTGCCCGATCAAGAGAGGGGGTGGGGGAGTTGCAGCTTGTGGTATCAGTTGAATGAAGCGGATTTTGGCGTTCTAAGGTCATGATATATCCCAACGCTCAAGGCGTTTGTCGGCTTGGAATGGTGGTGTGTCTCGTTGTTTCTAATCAGACAAAAAAGTACAATAGATTTGTGACTACATTGCATTGCTATTTTTTCTTCTGTAGCGTGATGTGGACGCGCACTGTCTGGTGGCTCAGATGAGATTAGAAGCTGCTGTTGTATCGCCCCTTTGTTCCATCGTGATTCCCCAGTGTGGCTTGATCATCTTGCTTGGAGAAGTGACATCCCCACAAGCTTGCAAGACAGCAACATGACGCGCACCTAGCTCGACGCTAAGGTTTAAAGAGCAAGAAACAAACTGCGGATGTTGCTACACCCTGATCAAAACTATCCTTACGAATCAACATACCGTACATATCGCCATCCTGCCTCCCGCTTAGGAAGCTAACACCCCCTTTCCTTCCAACATGATCCCCATCCACCTCAGACCAGATAACTACTCAAAACACACATCCAATCATCAGTCTTCCTCTCAAGAATCATTGTACACAGGCATGGGATCATTAGTACCAGACCCCCTAAAAACCACACCCAAATGTACATCGTACTGTACAGTCCTAACAAACCATCCCTCACAACACCCGCGTCATCCGCAGAAAAACCAATCCACTATCAAGACAGCTCTGCTCTCAAACTGAACCCATCATACCACCATCAGCAACCGATAACAAGCTCACCTCCAGACTAAACCCAAAATACCACCTCCCGCCACAACCGATATCCCAACAAACCCCCTAACAGATCCTTTCCCTTTCTCCAACCCACCCAGCGCGACTCAAATTCCCAACCCGACGACAGAAGTCCTATCACCACTTTGTACCTGTTCCATCTACCATGCCCCGCAACACACAGACAGGCAGTCACAACATGTACATCAAGGACCAAGCGAGAGAGGGAGAGGGGTAGAGAGTTCTGGCCTGGAATGAGGGGCATCGGTTGCTGCTCGAACCCTTTGCCTTGCTGTTCTGTTGCGGTGAAGGCGAGGAGTAAAAAGGGAATAGAATTCTCTTCTTTGCCGACTCGTTTGTCCTGCTATGTCGGTCTCTGTCTCGGGCTGCGGATACGGGAATATCTATGGACGGGTTTGGAATTCGACTACAGGCTGAACAATGGGATTGTCGTTTTCAAGGTTGTGTGGACGGGATGGGTTGGGGGGGGGAAGGTTGGCAGTGAGTACCAGATTGTGCGTGGAGGTGCAGGATGGCAATAGGTTTGGATTTAAGCTTCGCTGTGTTGAGTGGTTGTGCTGGACGTAGTGCTCTGGGTCTGTGGGTGTTTTGCTTTCACTCTTTGGGGCTGGCTTGGATTAGAAGGAAGAAAGGGTCGAGTACTGTACATGTACATCAGAACATGGGCTGTGGGGAGGATTTTGATGTGCCTTGTACTGCTGTGGCTGGATGGTAAGGCATGGTTGGGGATGAATGGTTCCGAATGTAATCAAGGATAGGAGGATGAAAGTGGGCTGATGCGGTGGGTTGGCTTGTGGGCTGTGAGACTGGATCATCATGTAGTGAGCAAGAGTATGAAAGGTCTCTCTACTGCTACGACTTCAAGAAGAGGACTATCCGTGGCTCGTATGTGAACGAGGCGAGATTCGGATATACATGCCTTCATAAGCATGCAGACGAGATGGACATACGAGAGACCTCATTCCACGATTGGCCTGATCTAGTAAGCCACCCCCATTTTTCGGCCGCAGATCCTACTACCGTCGGTCAAGTACATACTACAGGTTCTCATATAACCCTCCAAAACTTCTGAACTGGTGCAGTATAACAGCCTGTATAGTGAACTGTATCTGGCCCAAGTTATTGTTTGGCATCTTTCGGCTGGATTGAGGGTCCATATATCGAACAGGCAATGCATTAGCAGATTCGCACGAATTTACCAGCATGTCTAAGATTTTGTAAAGTCAAGGATACAAATAACTGCTCCACGACTGAACAGGAGGTGGAAGTGCAAAGTTGTATTGGTGTCGCTGCCCTTATCAGATCTTGACGGACTATCAAGCATGAGTGGGTGCCTGCCAGCACCACCCCCTCATTTCAATCAGTGGCGACTAATTGGATGGACAGCATGAGGTCAGAGAGCTGTCTTGAGCTAGAGGGCTGTGCTTGTCAATGACCGTGCTTGGTGGCAGCTAAGGGCCCTTGCCTGAGATATCACGCCTTCAGCTAGTCAAAGCTGGCAGGGACCTATCCCACGTCAGCCGATGGACCCAGTGACTTCAAACGTCACTTGCATCTTTCATAACTACTACGATATGGATACAGTGGACCGGTGGGAAAAGCGCCCGGTCAGAATGAGTGGGATATTTCATGGCCACATCATATGACTACTACAGCTATGAGATCACCGGTACCTAGTGACAGTACTGTATGAGCAGGCTCGCTCCAGTCGCAGCTACGGTACTGTTACATGCCAGTAACTTGGTACGCGGTACGGTAGGCAGTCTTCTAGAACATCAATTTAAATCTCCACAAGCGGTTCGTACTGGACAGCAACAATAGCGGATGGGGCGAACACGTGCGTCCCTCATTAAACCCATGGGCGAAGGTTCCCATCCTCGAACCGTGGTTTGGTTCTCTATTTCTGTCCCGCTTGTTGTGCCCTCCGAGGGTTCCGAAGTTAATCCAGAGTACATACTGAGTTAACATGTTAATTCAATTCAATGTATTATACCCAGCCAAGACACCAATCATCAATGTGACCGTCGGCCTACAGTGAGATAACTACTTACACCTTTACCCCAATCGAAAAAGCAACCCGGACTTATCCCGTAGCTGCGCCGAGATTTACCGGATTTACTGTGGGCAATAAGCAATTCATCCTATTGCGAACGAATTTGATAACAGCTTGAGACAGATTTCGAACCCTCTCTTTCATCACTCCAATGAAGATTGCTTTCAATTTTCCTATTGCGGGAACTCCAACCCTCACTTGAACACTCAGCTAACCACCGACAAACAATAATTCCGCACCTGGCCGGTCCATTCATCCAAGCCCTCCGCCGCCCACCAGCCACCATCGGATACTTCGTTGTTGCCTATGGGTACAATTTAGGACCCAGCTTCACATCAGAATAGTTTCGGTCCGAGTCACAGTATCGATGACTCTGCACCTAAAATAACTTCACTAGATCAAACCTATTTACTATTCTGGCAGAAGCAAACACATTTCTCTCTGAAGACTTGTTAGTGCCAAAAAAAAAAAAGGAAGCCACCACCATCGTTGTCATCATTGTTCCAAATCAATCCACCATTGTCCACCATTGTCCCCCTCAACATTGCCAGAATCCAGTCAGACAAATAGGCACAGCGTCAATGGCAACATCCGCCACCACCACCACCAACACATCCTTCCGACAGGACGAAACAGGAGATGAAATCCGATGGCTAGTGCAAGGGCAGTCCTCTTCTTTCGATCTGAGCTCCCATTCTGGGAGCGCTACTACCACCACTACTACTACTACTACTACTACTACTACTACTACTACTACTGCTACTGCCAGTAAAAAGAACGAGACGCACGACTCGTGGTCCATAAAGCGGTTCCTAAGCCGCCACGTGAGTCGTCGATATCGCGTTCTGGAGGGCGAGCCAAATAGATTGCGAAAGCGATGTACCCGATAGCTTTGAACTGCAGCGATGCGTTGGAAGGCCCGGGGTCGCTTTCTTGAAAACTTGGGGTCATTCAAATCCGGATTTTCTACTGTTTTTGACTGGACTTTATTTGTCTGTGCACTTAGGCAGGAGGTCAATGCTCGTTCTGATTGGAACATTTGGATATCTGCGCGTCTTCAGTAGCTACTTTGCTGGTGCCAACAGTGTTGATTCATGTCGGTTGGGGGTTGTTTGGATATCCAGTTGGGTAAAGTAGTTGACTACCGCGAATGATGTTGACGTCATTGTTTGGGGTTAACTTAATGGGGGTTTATCTTATCTATGATGTGGGCGAGAGTTGGAGTGGCTGGCCCTTTGGCTTGGGGATGTCTCGACGCTGTGCGAACTTCTTTCGTTCTGTGTGCCTCCACGTCTCGGGAGAGAGCTCATACACAGAGTGTGCGAACTAGGGATATGGATCCAGCCGCGATAAAGAAGATGCCTAGCCAGTAGGTATGCATGCTGTCGGGAAAGGCGCTCAACCCCAAGACGTGGCGTCCGATGCTTGAACGGTTTTCTTAGAGCTGCTTCAGTTCTGGTTTTAGCGTCACAGTGGTCGATGGTTGTGGTGGTTGTTCAAATAATCAAATGCGCAAGAATCCAGCTACATAGCCAGACTAACACGTGAATTGTCCCCAGCAAGCAGTTTATCGGAGCATCTTATAGTCATGGCTACAGGGCACAGGCAACCACCCTCGTTATGCTGGTGCTGAACAGATGCCAGCGCACCATCCAACGTGGTCCCTTACAACCCATCCCGGAAATTTAAGCTTAGCCTGACTCTGGATGCAAATCCATCGCTCGTTAACTCTGGCTATTCGAACAACGATACTGTCTGCCATATCTAGCCCCGCACGTACCAGGGCCATATAATCAGGTAAAAGCGGGCTACAGTACGACCCTGTGCCGATCATCGGGCAAGTCCAGAATAGACTAGATGTCTGAGGGTTGTTAGATTGTCTGCGCCCTGCAAAACGGGGATGCCCCCAATACACTATTAAATTAAGTATAACATTTGGCGCTGGCTGTGTGGAATGATGGGTAGCTCATGTGGCGGGTTTGTGGCTGAGGAGGGGGGGCGAATCCTTTTGCTTCCAACGGGGCGAAGAATGATCGACATCCTAGGTATGAGTACTCCGTGCTGTGTATCACTAAGTATGTCTTTTGCGAGTGGCTGAGTACGAAAGTGGTTTATTCCTGGGTGAGAAGTCAGTTCAGGCAGATTCATTAATGCTGGTGTGTTTTGTGGGGAGGCTGTTTTGTTGTTGCCTGTGCTCTGAGCCACAGTAGTCGGAATTCTGTTGATTCGCCACGGTAGATCTCATGTGATTCCAGGTAGTGGGGATTGTTGATCAGCCGTTGAAAGATAGAAGATCAAAGATTCCAGAAGGGACATGCAGTTGGTATTGCACATATACCGCAAGACTAGTGGTTATCAGCTTAAGAAGTACCTATATTGTACTGTACTACTCTCAGAGGGTATAGAACAATCAGCCAAACTCTGATACTCGTAGAATCCCAAGGAGAATTAACCACAGTACTAAGACGTACTGTAGGAAGTGATCTGCAGCTGTAAGCCTAGCACAATAACTAACCTCTGCCCTACATTTAGGCGCATGCTCGATAAATAGCCCGAGAAGGGGTCCCTGCACAGGGCAGTAAACAACCCCCCCGATTCCTTTATTCCCTGCGAAGATCAGCTCCGTTGAACTGCCGGTCCTGCTGTCCTCCCCCCCTCCCACCCCCTTCTTCCCCAACAAATTCTATCAGTGAAGCAAGGTATACAGTACAGTGCAGTTCCCCCACACAGGAAAACAAAATGACATTGAAACCCTATATCCTATAAGCAGGACCCTCGTTTTCATGATGCAGTATGCACGCACATAATTAGACACTTCTTTGCCACACAGTACATATACATCTCCACGGCATTGTCACCGCCAAACCCTCCCCGCATATCAGGCTGCAGCTGGAAGTAACTAAATTGGAGCGTGCTGTCATAGGATACTACTCTCCAGAGACAGATCCCACCCAATGCAACGGCTGGAGGGGGTGAGCAAGAGGGCCGAAGCAAAGAAGGTTGACTGTTCTGCACACGTACGGTACCCTTGCCGACCTCTGTAGTACAAAGCTAGCAGATCTGGGATCAAAAGCAAAAGAGGCATGGGCAACAGCAGTTCTGCCCTTTCCCCCCCCCGCGGATTCTCAACTGGGAATCCCAATCGTAGAAATGGCCCACAGTTTGATTTTAGTGATCGAAAACCAAAAGATAGAATTACTCCGCCTATCATCGACGATGATCGCGTCGGGTGCGAGTGTGGCTTTTATTGGTGTAGAGTACAGTACATTATTCGAGATGGAACCCTACTAGCGGTCGAGAGGCAAGTAACTGCTAATTTAAAGTGTACTGATGTACTCCGGACTGTACCATCGTCCATGGTTCTCGCACAATGAAATCTATTCATCTCTCATGTAAGTTCCTTTTTTATAGTTACCTACATACGGAGCACTTCTTAACGTGATGGATTACATGTATGAGCCTGGGGGATAAATCAGATTTGATCGCGCGCGCGGACAGAAAGGAAGAGCCCGGCCGGGGCTTCGCGAAAAAAAAAAAGCTCGGATAGTGCCTTAACAACTGATTGATCAAATAAAAAGCTCCGTACCATGGTCCTGGGAGACTTTCCCGCGTGTCGTTCCTGAATGCTAATTTGGGTTGGCATTTTTTTTTTTTTTTTTTGGTTATCCCTTCCCTTCCCCTTCGCGAACAATCCAACAATAAAAATTACCCGACCCATTGAGTGGGGGTTTGTGGCGGATGGAATAATTTCCGACTGTCTTTCCCACGACAAAAGCATGCAAGGTGGTAAAGTGAAATGTGGGATTGGGAAGAGACCACCGGCAACACCGTGCTGCGCTCCCGTAGTCTATCTAGGGTACAGTACAACGTCTCGG